TATCCTTAGCATTCAAACCATAGTTAAAGAATCATATTGTTAATACGAGTAGTACCATTATTATAATCTTTAACCCCGTAGCCCCCCTATTGAGCATGCTCAGAGATTCAGTGGCCATCATGGTTGGAGAGATGGAATGACAAGGTATGAACATGGCAGAATGGAACCAGACTGAAAACACTGAACAACATTTCACTGGCTCGAGCACGTCGTTAACATTTTAGTGCAATGAGAATTACTGCTGTTGCCTACAAATCAGACAGGACAGCACCTGTAAACTCGCACCTCATGTGGGCAAATAATACTGGAATTTATATAAACGGTCTCCATCCACACGCCTCCGTTGCAATTATTGTACTCTTAACTTTTCCCCCTCCATAAAAATTACCTCCCATTTCTCAAACTCATTATATTTCAGTCACAGTTGCCATCTTTAATTTGTATTAACCAAGCTGTTGTTAAAGACCAAATATAATTTGATTTTAATAATTAAAAAATTCCTCCAGTAAAATGTGTGTAAGAAAAGCTTTTTGAGTAAGGCTCTAGATGCTAGGGGCACATCTGTATATCACAGCTTACTAAGGTTCCTAGTCCCAACAGGGGATAGAAAACAGAGGAGACCTACCACAGTAAGGAGACGCTGTTCACTTTTGGCAAATACGGGTAAATATCTACCTTGCAAAAAAACAAAACACCCATTATGTTCTTAATCTATATTGTTCTCTAATTTGCTAATATTTCAACTGTTAATACATCATCAAACATCACTACCACATATTTGCACTGCTGCATATGAATATTGTTAATCTGTGAATACTGCTATCGGCTTTTCTTCCTTTTTTAGCTTTACAATATGAACATTTCAATGTCTGATGGAGGAATTAAACAGAGGTTGTCCCTTTATAAATGCACTCGGCTGAGATTTGGCAACTCTGATGTTGATAAAGGCATTACAGCACTTTGACAGCATACAAGAACTCCAGCCTTTTGTTGCTGTCAGTGGTCAAGTTTAGTATGCATTGTCCTTTTGGTTTCAATGCTGAGGCTTACGTTCAGAACTCTTCAGAGAGCACTAAATATACATGCTGGTACTTGCTCAGTCACACCCTCGCAGTCAAATTCTCATTCAGATGGTTTGTTGCCCAGTCATTCAAGCAGATATGCCATTTCCCAGTCATCAGACAGACAGACAGACAGACAGACGGGATGTGTGGTGGAAAAGAACAGCGTCTAAATATTCAGAGTGAGCAGGGCTCAGGGCAGTGCTCAGAGAGCAGGAGAGAGAGAGATAGCGAGAGAGAGGGGGGGAGAGAGAGAGAGAGGGATAGAGAGAGAAAGAGAGAGAGAGCGAGAGAGGGAGAGGGATAGAGAGAGAAAGAGAGCGATAGAGAGAGAGAGAGGGTGGGAGGGAGAGATAGAGAGTGTAATAGAGAGGAGATAGAGGCCTTTCCTCAGTGGTAGATGGATAGGCGTCAGAGGAGAATGAGTATGATGATTGAATGGCTTTGCGATGGAAATTAGAAAAGGGAATAGAGTTGAGTACAAATACTGCTACAACCGAAGAAACGTAAATCTGCAAACTGATTTCATCTCAGACATATCATTAGTGTAAAACATGTTTATATTTCATAGGAATAGTAACTTCTACTGCTTTAACAGTTTACTTTTTACTAATACTCTTTAATGTATCGGATCCATCTGGCCATATGCGTTGCCAACTATTAGACAACACATTATTGGTTCTTCAGGCTAATAGTACGCTGTCTGCATCAGAGTTTGTTTTGTTGTTGTTGTGTTCCTGTTTGTGACTCCTTTTTCCGAGCAGCAGCTGCAGTAACTACACTTAATGTCAGGTCTGCTGCAGTCTAATTGATGGATCATTTTGCTCTTAATTTGACCTCCTAAGGCTGCTAAAGCCAAGCTGTTCCTCATGGTGTAAGAGTTCTCCTCTCAGTGTGCTATTATTCCCACTGGAAAGATTGCATTTGCTCTTTAGTTAAGTCCCATCTACAGCAGGCAAGAAGGCAGGCATGCTGGAAGGACTACACTACACTTGCTCCTCGGTTTGACCTCATTGTTTGCCACTATGCTAAATAAACTCTATGGACAATTTGTTTCCATTCCAGGAATGATACAGTGCCTTCGGAAAGTATTCAGACCCCTTTACTTTTTCCACATTTTGTTACGTTACAGCCTTATTCTAAAATGGATTCAATAAATGTTTTTCCTCAGCAATCTACACGCAATACCCCATAATGACAAAGCAATTATTTTTTGCAAATGTATAAAAAAACAAAAACAGAAATACCTTATTTACATAAATATTCAGACCCTTTGCTGTGAGACTCGAAATCGAGTTCAGGTGCATCCGGTTTCCATTGATCATCCTTGAGATGTTTCTACAACTTGATTGGAGTCCACCTGTGGTAAATTCAATTGATTGGACATGATTTGGAAAGGCACACACCTGTCTATATAAGGTCCCACAGTTGACAGTGCATGTCAGAGCAAAAACCAAGCTATGAGGTCAAAGGAATTGTCCGTAGAGCTCCGAGACAGGATTGTGTCGAGGCACAGATCTGGGGAAGGGTACCAAAAAATGTCTGCAGCATTGAAGATCCCCAAGAACACAGTGGCCTCCATCATTCTTAAATGGAAGAAGTTTGGACCCACCAAGACTCTTCCTAGAGCTGGCCGCCCGGCCAAACTGAGCAGTCGGGGGAGAAGGGCCTTGTTCAGGGAGGTGACCAAGAATCCGATGGTCACTCTGACAGAGCTCTAGAGTCCCTCTGTGTAGATGGGAGAACCTTCCAGAAGGACAACCATCTCTGCAGCCCTCCACCAATCAGGCCTTTATGGTAGAGTGGCCAGACGGAAGCCACTCCTCAGTAAAAGGCACATGACATTCTGGTTGGAGTTTGCCAAAAGGCATCTAAAGACTCTCAGACCATGAGAAACAAGATTCTCTGGTCCGATGAAACCAAGATTGAACTCTTTGGCCTGAATGCCAAGCGTCACGTCTGGAGGAAACCTGGCACCATCCACCAATCATGGTGGTGGCAGCATCATGCTGTGGGGATGTTTTTCAGCGGCATGGACTGGGAGAATAGTCATGATTGAGGCAAAGATCAACAGAGCAAAGTACAGAGAGATCCTTGATGAAAACCTGCTCCAGAGTGCTCAGAACCTCAGACTGGGGCGAAGGTTCACCTTCCAACAGGACAACGACCCTAAGCACACAACCAAGACAATGCAGGAGTGGCTTCGGGACAAGTCTCTGAATGTCCTTGAGTGGCCCAGCCAGAGCCTGGACATGAACCCGATCAAACATCTCTGGAGAGACCTGAAAATAGCTGTGCAGCAATGCTCCCCATCCAACCTGACAGAGCTTGAGAGGATCTGCAGAGAGCAATGGGAGAAACTCCCCAAATACAGGTGTGCCAAGCTTGTAGGGTCATACCCAAGAAGACTCGAGGCTGTAATCGCTGCCAAAGGTTATTCAACAAAGTGCTGAGTAAAGGGTCTGAATACTTATGTAAATGTAATATTTCTGTTTTTTATTTTTAATAAATGTGCATTTTCTTTCTAAAAACCTGTCTTTGCTTTGTCATTATGGGGTATTGTGTGTAGATTGATGAGGAAAAATAACAATTTAATCAATTTTAGAATAAGGCTGTAACGTAACAAAATGTGGAAAAAGTCAAGGGGTCTGAATACTTTCCAAATGCACTGTATATGTCATATGTGTTTTAAAAGTATAGCATTCTGGCTCACAGTCACAAACAAGCCCACAGTACATGTGTCAGTCTAGGCCCTCCCTGAAGCAGTGAGAGAAGGGGGGAAGGCGGTGCTGCTGCATTTATCATGCATTCGCTGTGTGAAAAATGAACTCTGTCAGTCAGTCAATTCATTCGAAATGCCAATGTGTAATTGATTGTGCATCTCGTGCCCCGCAGTGCTGCTCTCCATCTGATCAATATTAGCATTATCCTAATTATGCTGCGAGTTAGGTCTCAGGTCCCCGTAAACTGATGGTCCCTATTAAAAGAGATGTGCTTGAACAGGGAGGCCCCCCCCCCCCCTGCAGAGAGCAGCTGGAGAAGGCTGGCAGCGGTAGGGGGCAGGACCAGGCATGCACTGCAACGCTTGGATGGCAATTTTATAACCATTGTCAGGGTAATTTGTATATTTTATTAACCAGTTAAAGATGTTGAGCTTCTTTACTGCTCCGTATCCACACTACCGGGTGGCACTTTTACAGCTGTGCTTTATGGTCAGATTATCTGTATTATCAGTGCTTTAATGATGCTTCTTCTCTTTTTCCTGACACGGAATGCCTTTTTCTGCAATGAAAAAGATGGTGGTCTACAATGATAATACATCACAATGGAACGCAGTGCGCTGACAGGGGGACTAGAAACAGCAGAAGATTGAAAACATTGTTCAATACACTGGATGTCTTGAATGTTTGGTTTGACACAATTTGCGGGATATCTTTTGGCACTACAGTGTGGAGCTTTATGAGCAACTAATCAGAGTTGCTTTATTCCTCCAACAGAGAGAAGTTACTAGAGAGATATGTCTAAGATGATGAGTCCAGATTTGGAATGTAATGGTTGAAGGATGATGACCGCTAAAAGTAGATCTGAACATGCCCGAAACAATCTCTAATGCACATATTCTACGTCCACTAAAATAGTTTAGCTTTTAAAATACGTTTTTTTTCTTTTTTATATTTTGTTTAAATATTCTCAAACCCAGTAGCTATAAATGTAAAAGAAAAGAAAAGAAAACCCCTTTTCCTCCTTCAACCTGAAGCTAGTGAGTTTCTTCTTAAGTTTTAACTTGTAACATTATTAGTAGTAGTTTGTAGTATTAGTATCATTAATACTATATTATATTACTGTTGAGAACAATAAAAATGTTTGGTCCTTTGGTCCCTTAGGGGTGAAAGATTTTCAGTTGTACTGTAGCTAATGGAAACCTCAGTGACCCCAGAAAGTCACAGTTCTGCGCTTGCTGAGAGATGGTGAGAGAAAAAGAGAAAGAGGGAAAGAGAAAGAAAGTCCATCAGTGGGACAGAATAGCTTCTTTTTTTCCACTGTTTTTCTTGATCTTCAAGTGTTAACCCTCATTTATCCAGTATAGTAAAAGCCACAAGCGCCTCTTTCTTTATATATATGTGTGTATATAATACGTATATAGAAATCTATTTGTTGTTGCTGCTTTTTTGTTTGTTTGTTGCTTAATTAACAATTCAAGTCTCAACGAGAAAAGTTTCACATCTTTTTTCAGTTTCTTTACTTCTCTTGTATTTCTTGCACTGTGCCGTTTGTTGCGTTGAAGTCCTTCGGTGTAGCTGCTGCCAACTCATTCACACCTTCTTCTATCTATTCATCACTGCAGTAGCCTACGTCTTCTTCATAAGTAAATGCTGATATGTCTTTGAAAATTCCTTGTGTTGATTTTTTTTAAACATAATTTTTGTTTTCAAAAAAAAAAAAGTTGAACTCCTCCAAGATATCTTCAGTTGTCCTCAAAACCTAAAAAATAGAGTTCAAATTGTTAGGTTCTAAGCTCTGGTACAATGATCCAGTCGGACTCTGAAGAAAGCTAGATTTATTAAACCACACTGGGTCATACAGCTGCAAAGACAAGGTTTGATTACACAAGCACATATATTTATAACCTCCTACTAGGCAGGGTCAACTCCTTACACATCTAGACAGCCAATTCATCTCTGTTGCTAGTCAGGAACTTAATTGGTTCCTCTCACTGGTGTAGTCATAGCCCTGCCTGATGCTAGAACCTTTGTGGGCATGGAAGTGTATTCGTGTGAGATAGGACTGTAGTAGGAGGGTCGTTGGGGTGGGTTTTTCTCACTTCATCTGTTGACTGACCTCGAGCCGAATTCCTCGCTCCTTCCTAGTTCCGCAGCTGGCCTACCTTATCAGGAACTGAAACTAGACCCCTTTGCCTCCCTCCTTAGGATCATTGATATTCAACAATAACATGTTTGAACAGAATATGAACTTTCTGCACTTCCCCTTGTCTCACTCAGTAACTTTCCATATACCAAGTTCCTATTCACCCTTCATTGACCCCAACATATACATTCCTTATACATGTAAAGTAATCAATATGTTCTAGTATGGTAATGTGAATAAGTATATATCAAGCTAGAATCCAACAAAACCATGTTTAGATCTAGCTTGCTTTGCTTTGAATGTTTGAGATGTCTTGATGTATAGATTTTACTTTCTTTTGTTTTATATCAGTGTGATGGTTTGGAGAAAGCCAGCCCACATTTGCAAATCAATCTATCTTTGTCTATCATGATGACAGATATCCCATTTCTAGTTGACAGGCATTCTATAAGTCTGAGTCTATAAGAAAGTCCACTGGGCTTACCTGTGCTGTTGCAGTGAATACTGAGGGCTAGGCTGTGTCAGTAAGGGCGGCTGGCATCCTTCGGTCGTTTTAACTGGACTTTCAACCTCTTCATTCCAATCTGAAAGCCGTTCATGGCTTGAATAGCTGCCTGTGCGCTAGCTGGGTTGTCGAAGCTCACAAACCCTAGGAGAAAAGACAGGCAAAGTGTATTAACCTAAAAGCTAAAACGGTCAATAGGGGAAAGTAGCCGAATAAGTATCCAATGATTTAATTATGAGGAAGCAAATAAAATATTTCAGACAATGCCCTTGCTCAATCAAATAGCATTATGCATGGACTAGTTCAGATTATATCAAAGGGCTTATTGTGATGGGAACCAAAGTAATATTTGGAACAATATTTAACAATATTTAACAATTTCTGTCATTTGAACCATTTTGCTTCTCAATGTACTGTAGCTTTGTGCAAACACTCTCAAATGCTCTTGAATATAAACCAATGAGCATGCCATTGTGGCTGTTCCACTTGCACAGAGAAGCAGAACCCACACAGGCGAACACAGAGAGACAGGCTGACGCAGAAGCACATGCGTACGGCGCCAGACACTCAAGTCCAAACTCATGCTGAGCATCCTGTTTCCATCAAGTGTAAAAATAAAGCCTTGAAAGTCAGTGACCAGAAACTGCAGTGGAGTGTGGCTCCGGTTGATGCACTCCCCAGCGTCTAGTGTCATTAGGAACAGTCGATGACCCATGGAAAAACAGCAGGAGCCTCCCCAGGTCCCCTGACACCTGGGAGGGGAGGTGTCTGCCTACGCTGCCCCATTAGGGGGATGGGTTAGGGGGGACAGAGGGAGGAGGAGAGGATGAGAGGGGTGCCCCGGGCCGGCCCTGCCACAGATAACAGGGAAGGATGTGGACTTAAACCTGCTTTAAGGGGAGCTCTCCATGTCAGCTTTTCTCCCTGCACCATCAGTCTGGGTTTATCCCTCTCCCTGCCTTCTACATTAATTACCCTCCAGAGCAGCCCAGTCCCCAGACCTAACATTACGTTGTAAATACATAGTGTATTAGTCAATACTGGAAATTTATATGTTATTAAGTCCCCCCTGAGAGCCGGGCGGCAATCAATTTTGCCCAGGGATGTGCGGCTCCCTGAATTGAAAACAAATGTTGATCTATAATTGTCCTTTGCCTTACCCTCTTTTTTTCTCTCCCCTCCCTTCATCCCCACTTTTCTTTCAAGCCCAAAGGCAGGTCTGGTCTGTGTGTTGGCAGAGCCAAGTGGGCCAGGGCCAGGTTAGCGTGTGAATCAGCCCCAGTGCGCCCTGGGTATTGGGAAGTAGTGGGGTTACAGAGCGGTGATCTGGATGCTGATACAGCAGAAGCCCTCACATGAGTTATCAGGTCAATTTCGCATACACACAGATACAGTGGGACAGGGACTGTGACTACATACATGGTATTCCCAGGATTTGTTGTGAACAAAATAGCTAAAAGCTTTTCAAACTCAAAGGACATCCTTAGTAAGATAAGAAGGGAAATATAGGCTACCAACTTGTTTAATGTAAAAGTAAAATGTTGTTGAAATAGCACAGGAATCATACTATCATAATATATAACAATTAAAATATTTTAGTACAGATTGCCTTGTTTGCGATACATTTAACGGTATTTAATATAATAGATTGATTGATAGAACAAACATAGACCTTCTCTCTATGACCTACTGTACAGTTATAGCTACATTACAAAACTCACCGAAGCATTTGCTCTGGTTGGTAGCTCGGTCCATGAAGACCTTGGAGGAGATGACGCTCCCAAAAGGCAGAAACATCTGCATGAGTTCATTATCTCCAAACTCCTGTGGCAGGTGGTAGATGAACAGGTTACAGCCCTCAGGCCCTGCGAACACACAAAAACCATGGAAACCACAATCAAACCTATTTACTGCTTTATTTACCGCTGCCTGCAGACCAGACCCACTGCTTCTCATTTGGCCGGGGAACAGATCGTAGAAGCACGACTAATGGAGTGGCAAAGAAATACATTTGTTAGGAGTTCTGTAACATTATCTCTCAATAACAACAACGCTGGGTTTACCGCCACAAATACAAATTGTGAATTTTCCTACTTTTATTTGATTTTGCATGGTGTGGCGGCATGACATCACTGAGGTGGTGCCTTGATGATTTGTTTTCATGGAGATGTCGAGCAGGCAGCATTAAACCTCTATTCAAGCATCTAATCTAGTCAAACGTCTCAACCCTTAATCAAGACAAAGGCCTACATAATAATAAATGTATATGTCTTTGAGGAAAAACTGATTGGTAATGATTTAGAAATAGTGAATCCAAAATTACATTTACACACAGTTGTCATCATAATTCTGTGTAGGACAATCAACTAAGCAGATTGAGATGTGACTATAAATGGGTTTGAACCCAGTCAATGGATTACACAACGCAATCAACCTTTAGATGCCTCATATGTAATCTCCATGTAGTCTACATTTAGGTAAAGGTTAAAACCAAATCAACCCGCTAGACTGCATCACATCCCAAGATGCAAAGATGATGATAATGATGCTTGATTACTTTTATTTCCCCCCAGATAATACCTTCATGCAGCTGGAGTACTATGTAAGACTTTCATTTCTAAAAAGGGAACATTTAATCACCGCATTATAACACCTAGACAATATTTCCAGGAAAGTGTAATACCAAAATATGAAATACAAATCGCAATAAAGCAATATTGCAATGAAGCAATAACAGTGAATATTTAACTATTTATAATAGTGTCGTAAAATAGTTGTAAAAGAGTGTTGTAAAATAGTAATATTGTTCTCTCACCCTCACCTTCTCTCTGTTGCTGCTGCTGGATAACCTGTGATGGCTGAGGCAGTGTCTGGCCTATGGGAGTCAGTGTGCCAGCTGGGTAGATAGCTACAACACATTGAAGGGGAAACACAGAGAGAAACAAGGGGGTTCATGTCAACACTGCTGTAGGTTTGGTCATCACTGAATACTCAAACTATTTGTGTAAATATGTATCTATTAACAGAATCTTTATTTTAGTCGGTCAGTTATGCTGTATGCTTTCAGTTATAGTATTGCAGTATGTCATTCATTATACAACGGGTTGGTCTAATCCTGGATGCTGATTGGTTAAAACCGCATTCCAGCCGGTGTCTATACAACAAGTTACCACCGGCTAAAGCTATTGTTGAAATGCCTATTTACTCTGTTCCATCTCACTGCGCAATCCACTGTCTCATCAGCCCAGCCAGGCAATTTATAAACTTGATCTCCACTATGAAAATGTATGCACTCACTAACTGTAAATCGCTCTGGATAAGAGCGTCTGCTAAATGACTAAAATGTAAAATGTAAAAAGCATCTAGACATTATCTCCCATTTCTTTTAGACTAGCATTTGGTTTTCAACAGCAGAGATTTGTATAAACCTTGCTGTCTGTCTCTCCGACATTTGCAACATTGTTTCAATATTGAAATTTGATCTCCAGCTGTCCCATAGTAATGAAAGTGTCGGGAGTCGGGACGAGACAGACAGGCAGACAGCTTTTCTGCCAATCGAAGTCATGAATCAGCTGGCATCATATTTATGGATATATACAAAGAAATGTCAATAGAAAACCGGTAAAACGAAATGAAATGCAGCTATTTTGCAGTTTTTCCAACTTCAGTTTGAAGTGATTGTGTTAGCTGTGTTGTTGGCTAGTTCCTCTGAACAACAGTGTCCTGATGAGAAAGCACATTTTCTATGCCAGGCGAAATCAACATCATTGTTATGGATGTATCCAAATAAATGTCACTAGAAAGCAGCTTAAACAAACGCAAATGCAGCTACTTTGCTGTTATTCTGGCTGCACTGTTTGACGTGACTGTAAGTTAGCCGTAGTTGGCTAGCTAGCAAGCAAGAAATAGGAACGCTGCCAGCCAGTATGGCAATGGAACATTTAGAACGAACGACTGGGTCGCTCGCGTCCATAGATACAGAACAAAAAGACTTAGCGACTGGGTCGTGTCTCTGGCAACCGAACCGATAGAACGAATGACCAGCCTGCTTGGGTAGTGTCACGCCCTGACATAGAGTTGGCTAGTTGATGAGTCAGGGTGTGAATATTATGTGTGGGAATTTCTATGTGGACATTCTAGTATTTGTATTTCTATGTTTGGCCGGGTGTGATCGCTCGTTGTCTCTGATTGGGGATCATACTTAGGCAGCCAGTTTTCCTGCCTGGGTTGTGGGATCTTGTTTGTGTTTTGGTGTGTTTGGCTTGTTTGTGTATAGCCTTCCGACGTCACGTTTCGTTGCCTTTTGTTGTTTTGTCAGTGTTTATCCATTTTAATAAACATGTTCGCATACCACGCTGCACCTTGGTCTGACCCATCTCTCAACGATCGTGACAGGTAGCAACCTTAGATTTGTGTCGGGACTATATCTTGTGGAAGGATGAAATAGTATGAATATATTCATCAAAATAATGTTTTTTAATGAAAATATGTTAGTAACCCATTGTATAAAAGTTGTATACGAGTGGCGCCGGAGAAGATGGCTGCCGTTTTACAGCCCTCTAACCAATTGTACTATTATGTGTGTTTTTCCGAGTTTTTCCGCGTTATTTGTAATTTTATTCTGTACATAATGTTTCTGCCATCGTCTCTTAAAACCAAAAAGCGTTTCTGGATATCAGGACAGCGATTACTCACCTCGTATTGGACGAATAATCTTTCTTCAACGAGGTGGCCGCGAAGGATATCCTACAGACACCCGACAAGGCCCAAATCCCTGTCATTCGCATGAGGAAGAGACGGAGATATCGTGGACGTAGGTCGGGGTGCCTTGTAAGGATCAGACGGCGAGCGAGTAAACTGCCGCTCCCATCAATCCTATTAGCCAATCTTCAATCATTGGAAAATAAATTGGATGACCTAAGATTACGGTTATCCTACCAACGGGACATTAAAAACTGTAATATCTTATGTTTCACAGAGTCGTGGCTGAACGACGACATGGATAACATACAGCTAGCGGGCTATACGCTACATCGGCAGGATAGAACGGCTGACTCTGGTAAGACAAGAGGTGGCGGTCTGTGTATATTTGTAAACAACAGCTGGTGCACAAAATCAAATACTAAGGAAGTCTCGAGGTTTTGCTCGCCTGAGGTAGAGTATCTTATGATAAGCTGTAGACCACACTATTTACCAAGAGAGTTTTAATCTATATTTTTCATAGCTGTCTATTTACCACCACAAACCAATGCTGGCATTAAGATTGCACTGAATGAGCTGTATAAGGCCATAAGTCAACAGGAAAACGCTCATCCAGAGGCAGCGCTCCTAGTGGCCGGGGACTTTAATGCAGGGAAACTTAAATCCGTTCTACCTCATTTCTACCAGCATGTTAAATGTGCAACCAGAGGAAAAAAAAACTCTAGACCACCTTTACTCCACACACAGAGATGCATACAAAGCTCTCCCTCGCCCTCCATTTGGCAAATCTGACCATAACTCTATCCTCCTGATTCCTGCTTATAAGCAAAAACTAAAGCAGGAAGCACCAGTGACTCTGTAAATAAAAAAGTGGTCAGATGACACAGATGCTAAGCTACAGGACTGTTTTGCTAGCACAGACTGGAACATGTTCCGGGATTCTTCAGATAGCATTGAGGAGTACACCACATCAGTCACTGGCTTCATTAATAAGTGCATCGATGATGTCGTCCCCACAGTGACCGTACGTACATACCCCAACCAGAAGCCATGGATTACAGGAAACATCCGCACTGAGCTAAAGGGTAGAGCTGCCGCTTTCAAGGAGCGGGACTCTAACCCGGACGCTTATAAGAAATCCCGCTATGCCCTCCGACGAACCATCAAACAGGCAAAGAGTCAATACAGGACTAAGATTGAATCGTACTACACCGGCTCTGATGCTCGTCGGATGTGGCAGGGCTTGAAAACTATTACAGACTACAAAGGGAAGCACAGCCGCGAGCTTCCCAGTGACACAAGCCTCCCAGACGAGCTAAACCACTTCTATGCTCGCTTCGAGGCAAGCAACACTGAAGCATGCATGAGAGCACCAGCTGTTCCGGATGACTATGTGATCACGCTCTCCGTAGCCGATGTGAGTAAGACTTTTAAGCAGGTCAACATTCACAAGGCCGCAGGGCCAGACGGATTACCAGGACGTGTACTCCGAGCATGTGCTGACCAACTGGCAAGTGTCTTCACTGACATTTTCAACATATCCCTGACTGAATCTGTAATACCAACAAGTTTCAAGCAGACCACCATAGTCCCCGTGCCCAAGGACACTAAGATAACCTGCCTAAATGACTACCGACCCGTAGCACTGACGTCTGTAGCCATGAAGTGCTTTGAAAGGCTGGTCATGGTTCACATCAACACCATTATCCCAGAAACCCTAGACCCACTCCAATTTGCATACCGCCCCAACAGATCCACAGATGATGCAATCTCTATTGCACTCCACACTGCCCTTTCCCACCTGGACAAGAGGAACACCTACGTGAGAATGCTATTAATTGACTACAGCTCAGCATTCAACACCATAGTGCCCTCAAAGCTCATCACTAAGCTAAGGATCCTGGGACTAAACAACTCCCTCTGCAACTGGATCCTGGACTCCCTGACGGGCCGCCCCCAGGTGGTAAGGGTAGGTAACAACACATCTGCCACACTGATCCTCAACACGGGGGCCCCTCAGGGGTGCGTGCTCAGTCCCCTCCTGTACTCCCTGTTCACCCATGACTGCATGGCCAGGCACGACTCCAACACCATCATTAAGTTTGCCGACGACACAACAGTGGTAGGCCTGATCACCGACAACGATGAGACAGCCTATAGGGAGGAGGTCAGAGACCTGGCCGTGTGGTGCCAGGATAACAACCTCTCCCTCAATGTGACCAAGACAAAGGAGATGATTGTGGACTACAAAAAAAAAGAGGACTGAGCATGTCCCCATTCTCATCGACGGGGCTGTAGTGGAACAGGTTGAGAGCTTCAAGTTCCTTGGTGTCCACATCACCAACGAACTATCATGGTCCAAACACACCAAGACAGTCGTGAAGAGGGCACGACAAAACCTATTCTCCCTCAGGAGACTGAAAAGATTCAGCATGGGTCCTCAGATCCTCAAAAAATTATACAGCTGCACCATTTAGAGCATCCTGACTGGTTGCATCACCGCCTGGTATGGCAACTGCTTGGCCTCCGACCGCAAGGCACTACAGAGGGTAGTGCGTACGGCCCAGTACATCACTGGGGCCAAGCTTCCTGCCATCCAGGACCTGTATACCAGGCGGTGTCAGAGGAAGGCCCTCAAAATTGTCAAAGACTCCAACCACCCTAGTCATAGACTGTTCTCTCTGCTACCGCACGGCAAGCGGTACCGGAGTGCCAAGTCTAGGTCCAAAAGACTTCTCAACAGCTTCTACCCCCAAGCCATAAGACTCCTGAACAGCTAATCATGGCCACCCGGACTATTTGCATTGCCTCCCCCCCCACCCCATCTTTTTACGCTGCTGCTACTCTGTTAATTATTTATGCATAGTCACTTTAACTCTACCCACATGTACATATTACTTCAACTACCTCAACTAGCCGGTGCCCCTGCACATTGACTCTGCACCGGTACCCCCTGTATATATAGCCTCCCTACTGTTATTTTATTTTACTTCTGCTCTTTTTTTCTCAACACTTTTTTGTTGTTGTTTTATTTTACTTTTTTATTAAAAATAAATGCACTGTTGGTTAAGGGCTGTAAGTAAGCATTTCACTGTAATGTCTGCACCTGTTGTATTCGGCGCATGTGGCCAATAAAATTTGATTTGATTTGATAACGCCCTCGAAGCCAGTGTTTGGTGGATATATTGGCACGGTTTAACAACACCCGTGCAATATATCCTCCAAACACCGGCTTCGAGGGCATTATCACTTAAATGTAGCATGTAAGGGATAATCAACGAGGGGCTATGCGTTCTATGGAAAATGATGAACGACGTGGAATGTGTGTTCCATGACATGCTACAAATGTTTTCAACATCCTCTGAAGTAGCAGGCAAGTTTACTAGATAGCTACAGTAGTTTCCGTGGTAACCAAACAAACAGACCTGGTAGTTTAGCTAACCAAACCATCAGTACTAGCTTGCCATTATGAAAATCGAATTCAACAATGCCAATAATGTTTTCAATTCGACTTTTGCTTTCAAACGCAGCACAAACATAGAACATGTAAGAATGAACTATAGCCACTGAATTCTTCCGTGAAAATATACCATGCCTTATAGGGAAATAATGCCCGTCCTAGAATGCCCTTCAAGACAATCAGAAACAAGTATTAAACAATGCCATGGTATAATCTGCATTATAAACTGGGTGGTTCGAGCCCTGAATGCTGATTGTCTGAAAGCCGTGGTATATCACGGGTATGACAAAACATTTATTTTTACTGCTCTAATTATGTTGGTAAACAGTTTATAATAGCAATAAGGCACCTCAGGGGTTTGTGGTACATGGCCAATATACCACCGCTAAGGGCTGTATCCAGGCACCCCACGTTGCGTCGTGCATAAGAAAAGCCCTTAGCCATGGTATATTGGCCATATACCACACCACCTCGTGCCTTATTGCTTAATTATACCATGGCATTGTTGAATACTAGTTTCTGATTGGCTTAAAGGGCATTCTAGAGTGTGCATTATTTCCCTACAATGAACAGTATATCAGCATGGTAGAATTCAATGGCTATAGTTCATTCTTAGATGTTTTGTTTGAGTCGAAATTGAAAACATTATTGGCATTGTTGAATTCTATTTCCATAATAGCAAACTAGGACTGATGGTTTGGTCAAAGATTTTTTATAACTAACTGTGGTTTGGTTAGCTAAACTAGCAAGTCTGTTTGTTTGGTTACCATGGCAACTACTGTAGCAATCTATTAAACTTGCAAGCTACTTCAGTAGATGCTGAACACATTTCTACCGGAAAATGAACACATTTCTAGTAGCAAATGTGTTAAATTATAGCCATGCTATAAAAGGGATAATCATCTCGGGGCTCTATGCGTTCTCTGGAAAATAATGCAACTCCGTGGAAGGTTAGTTCCACTCTGCTAGCGCGTCGTGGAACACACCTTCCACATCGTTCATTATTTTCACATAGAACGCATAGCCCCTCGTTGATTATCCCTTACATACTGTTAACTGGTAGAGATAAAGTAGAAAATGTGTTGCAAGTATGAAAGTAGTGTAGGGCTTCATTACCATGCTACAAAAAATGCATCATATTAATTTACTGCACCCAAGCCTTGAGGGCTTATCTCAGTGTGTACATAAGGCCTACCTGTGTATTGCTGTACTCCGGTGAAGGCTTGCTGGAGGGTGTCTGCGGCGGTGGGGCTCTGGGTGGAGTAGGGCGGCAGGCCGTTGGTGTACATGGTCTCCACGGCGGGATGTCCGTTGGGCTGATGGTGGGGGATGCCCGTGAAGCCGTTGACGATGGGAGTGACGATGCTGGGAGTGGTGATGTTGGCTGGTGGAGAGCTGAGGCCTGCCGAGAGACAAAGACATTTCTACTTTTACAGACTATCCAACACACACATATACCCACAAACACACACACTTTTGCTCGCTACACCTCCTCTCCATCACAAGGACAGGATTCCTACATGAAACTGTCACATAGCAGGCGCGGATGGTGACACATCCCGCTGGATCACTGGGAAGTCAACCTGTGAAAAATGAGCCTGTCTGTAGTGTTTGTGCGATAGCCTGCTGGCTCCGAGTGCGAACAGGATGATGAAACCACTATGCAACTCCAGTAACATTCTGACGAGATAGGGGAGATTACAGTGAAACATTTATTCAGTGTGGACACGGGTAGCAAAACACTGAGAGGCCTACTCTCTTTATATATCATGAAAAATATCAGATAGTTTGACACACCATGAGCACATACAGTTGAAGTCAGAAGTTTACATACACTTAGGTTGGAGTCATTAAAACTTGTTTTTCAACCACTCACACAAATGTCTTCTTAACAAACTATAGTTTTGGCAAGTCGGTTAGGACATCTACTTTGTGCATGACATAAGTAATTTTTCCAACAATTGTTTACAGACAGATTATTTCACTTATAATTCACTGTATCACAATTCCAGTGGGTCAGAAGTTTACATACACTAAGTTGACTGTGCCTTTAAACAGCTTGGAAAATTCCAGAAAATGATGTCATGGCTTTAGAAGCTTCTGTTAGGCTAACTGACATAATTTGAGTCAATTGGCGATATACCTGTAGATGTATTTCAAGGCCTACCTTCAAACTCAGTGCCTCTTTGCTTGACATCATGGGAAAATCAAAAGAAATCAGCCAAGACCTCAGAAAAAAGATTGGAGACCTCCACAAGTATGGTTCATCCTTGGGAGCAATTTCTAAATGCCTGAAGGTACCATGTTCATCTGTACAAACAATAGTATGCACCCCCCCCCCCCCCCCAAATAAAACAAAAAAACAATAGTATGCAAGTATATACACCATGGGACCACGCAGCTGTCATACCGCTCAGGAAGGAGACGCGTTCTGTCTCCTAGAGATGAACGTACTTTGGTGCGAAAAGTGCAAATCAATCCGACAACAACAGCAAAGGACCTTGTGAAGATGCTGGAGGAAACAGCTACAAAAGTATCTATATCCACAGTAAAACGAGTCCTATATCGACATAACCTGAAAGGCCGCTCATCAAGGAAGAAGCCACTGCTCCAAAACCGCCATAAAAAAGCCAGACTACAGTTTGCAACTGCACATGGGGACAAAGATAGTACTTTTTGGAGAAATGTCCTCTGGTCTGATTAAACAAAAATAGAACTGTTTGGCCATAATAACCATTGTTATGATTGGAGGAAAAATGGGGTTGCTTGCAAGCCGAAGAACACCATCCCAACCGTGAAGCATGGGGGTGGCAGCATCATGCTGTGGGGGTGCTTTGCTGCAGGAGGGACTGGTGCACTTCACAAAATAGATGGCATCATGAGAAAGGAAAATTATGTGGATATATTGAAGCAACATCTCAAGACGTCAGTCAGGAAGTTAAAGCTGGGTCGCAAATGGGTCTTCCAAATGGACAATGACCTCAAGCATACTTCCAAAGTTGTGGCAAAATGGCTTAAGGACAACAAAGTCAAGGTATTGGAGTGGCCATCACAAAGCCCTGACCTCAATCCTATATAATATTTGTGTGAAGAACTGAAAAAGTGTGTGCGAGCAAGGAGGCCTACAAACCTGACTCAGTTACTCCAGCTCTGTCAGGAGGAATGGGCCAAAATTCACCCAACTTATTGTGGGAAGCTTGTGGAAGGTTACCTGAAACGTTTGACCCAAGTTAAACAATTTAAAGGCAATGCTACCAAATACTAATTGAGTGTATGTAAACTTTTGCCCACTGGGAATGTGATGAAATAAATAAAAGCTGAAATAAATCATTCTCTCTACTATTATTCTGACATTTCAGATTCTTAAAATAAAGTGGTGATTCTAACTGACCTAAGACAGGGAATTTTTACTAGGATTAAATGTCAGGAATTGTGAAAAACTGAGTTTAAATGTATTTGGCTAAGGTGTATGTAAACTTCCGACTTCAACTGTAACACACACACACATAAGCACACACACACACACACACACACACACACACGGTTGCAGGATGTTTCACGGTTAGAATAGAATTGGATGCTCCTCTCTCATTCGATGAATTTTAAACCAGCCTCTTGTTGAAAGTGTGCAATCTTGTGCGGAATGTGAATGAGTCCATTTGAGGAGGATCTCACTATGGATGATGGATACTTTGAAAGGCTGCTCCGTGGTAGAGCATCAGCCCTCACTGAGAAACGGGCCCCCTGGGGAACACCTTTCAATCTGGAGCCAAGAAGGGATTGGACAGAAAGGCCTGTTGTCACGGAAACCCTCAGGCATGCCATCATAGCAATTTGTCCGCCTCGGTAAAGAGCCCCTAAAGAAAAGTCCACATAGGGATGGATACATATGGTGGGTATGCTATGCTGCATGGCTGGGAGTAATGCTAATGCCTTGGTAAATAGGCTGTGGATCACACACAGAAAAACCCGCACAGAGCCATGTCAGCCTGAGACTACCCACGCACTCGGAGCACAGTTTAAGCAGTGGGGAGCCTGACACTCATGCAGCCAACCGCTGTGACCAGGGGAATTGCCCGGGTCCCGGCGAGAGCTGTTGTGTCTTTTGCACCATTTCCTTTTTTTAAGCTCCCTGCGTTTGCTTGTTTCCTGCAGAACTCTGATGAATTAGACTGCAGCTCTGGCCCATTCTCTGGCGGGGCCCAGGAGACTGCTGCTCCCCGTTCTGAGGGTTCAGACAGCCAGTCTGGCCGACCCCACGCACTCTATTGTACTGCGCCATAATGCAGCCTCTCCATCATCAGGGAAATTCATTTTCCAAGGCTTAGCAGTGGGCCGCGGCCACCGTGTGCTTCAGGGTCAGCAGGCAGACGCATCGCACGTGTGATAAGAGCCCAGAGAAAGGAGATTCTAAAAGTCACAGGGTGGGAGATTGTGCTTGTTGGGGACCTTGGGTGCCAGAGAGAGCCCAGTGGATCAGGGACGAGACACAGACATGCAGGGAGCCATGTCCAAGTGTAATGTGAGAGACGACAGCTTTAAACTAGAAAAATACATTTACTGAAGTAGATGCGGTGTGCTTGCTAGTCTTGAAGTATTTATGGTTGTAAAATAATAATAGTAGTGGTAGTGACGGCAGTAGTAATTGTAGTAGTAGTAATGGTAGTAATAGGGTTTTCATAGGCTATGGGTTAGTTATAGTGACCTATTTTTGGTTTGTAGCTGTGGAGTTATTATAGTGGGTTATAGTGGGCTAGTTTAGTAGGCTAGAGTGAGTACTATATCATCATAAGCCATAGAATGTATTACTGTGATCAGGGCACCCTTGGGAATGAGACCCTGGTCTAAATAGGTTTTCCCTAAACAATAATAATAATAGTGTAATAAAAGTATTTTTAAGCTCTCAAAATGTTCTAGTTTGAACATTCTGAAAGTGTTGTAGCAGTAATTTCAGTTTAGAATGTTGAAGCCTGCGTTCCACCATTGAAATGAATGGGGATACAACAAGCTTTATAGTTTTGAAGTGGGAATGGAAGCAAAAAGCTGTGTTAAAGCCATCTAAGTTGAGTCAGTCTGTGGTGTATCCAAAATGTACCTTTGAAGTCTATGGAGCTTTATGCACATCTTAAATGGTTATAGTTCAAAAAGTATAAATGGTATCAAAAAGCTGCATACAAGCACACTATTATAGACCAGTCTGCACGTTTTAAAGTTTGAATGGCGTTTCAATCTTAAACGGTTGAAGACTAGTAGCGACCGGAATTTTTCCCATTCAAGTCTATGGCACCTGAAATGCATTGAGATTTATGCTTTTTTTCAAGCATCAGTGCCAGTCTGCATGTTTGAAAGTTATTTTGGTGTTGGTAGCTTTTACGGTTTTGGCCCTACAGGTGGCAATGGGAGGCGAATAATAATAATAATAATAATAATAATAATAATAATAATAATAATAATAATAATAGTAATAGTAATAATAATAAGTATGAACAGTTTCTAAAGTTGTGCTTTGCTTTCAGCAAGCACATTTAATAATTAATGCTACTCAGCTCTGAGAAGAGGCCGAAACTGCTCAAAAACTTGTAGTACCTATCTAAGGACAAGTGGGATTACAAAGAATATACTGAGAATATGATTTCATTTTCCTGCATATTACTTTTCACACAACCATACCATTAGATGAACTACCGTTACTGCTCAAATATTATGTTCTTAAACATGATCAAACCTCAGCCAATGTACTTCTAGCTAGAGTAGGATAAATATTGTGACCTAAGCAAATGTCTTTCTAGCTCGAGTTGGGAGAAATATTGTACTCCCACGGTGCCATACATAACAAGACATTTCATTTTATACTCCAGTGGACATAGAGCCTCGCATTGTGAAAATCATATTCATAGCGTGTTTACAATACACACACAAGCATGTGCCTGTTTACATATGCCTGTTTACTGAATGCATTGTCCCATAATAATGACATGTTGTTTTGCACTCCAGAATGGGTAAATAGGATACTACGGGTCAAGAGATTGCTTATATTACACAACACGGTCTTACCTGTCAGTTTTCTAAGGTTATTATTCCATGAAGTAAGTCTACTACATATTCCACTTGGTTTTATGTTATGAAAGCATAATTACATTTACATTATTACAGTCTGTTCTTTGGGAAAATTGTTGATTTACACCCTGCGATGATTGCGCTGAGAAGGAAGCATAATAGTATTTATTATGCTAATTATACATTCAAATCAACAAGGAGCACTGGACCCATTTTGCAGAGCTCCACAGTCATTATGAACACAAGGACTGTCTCTCAGCGAAGCAAGAAATAAGCATTCATAACAGATGTTTTAATTTAGTTGATTTAAAAACTAGGTGCATTCGTACTCAGAGGGCAAACTGCAGTCAAACTGTTCTGGTTGTTCAAATGTTAATGAAAAAAGATCTAAAATGTTATAAAGGGTGTAGATTAAGATTGCAAGAGATCTACTAATGCTACTGAAAATTACTTTTTGTCATTAAAAGGTGTTATCCATGTTAATGTGATAAAGTCCATGCTGAAAAATGGTGCTCTATTAGATGATGGTGAGACTATATATGGTACATATTGTATGAAATGTGATTCGGTATAGTGGTCTGTACGCAGCAACCCTGGTAGGATGAATGTGGCTTGTGCCAAAGGGGGTATTCTGTCTGAGCTGGTATCCCGTGGCTAACGTGACACACAGCAACCCAAGGTGAGGCCGCCCTGAGCCCAGGCAGGCAGGCAGGCGTTCCCACTGAGGCGTAGTGCTGCTTAGAGCCATTCAGGGGGTCAAAAACACTGTGTCAAACAGCTCATTAGCTTCAACTGTGGCATTAGTCACTCTGTGGAATCGTCCTGCATCATGTTTTTGACCCCAATCTAAACCCACTTCCATCAGTGACACAATCAGGGCTGAATTGAATGGGAGTGTTGTTAGGCAGGGCCCTATATGTATGTAATGGATGTATTCAGCCCATGTAGAGCAGTGCTCTGGAACATAACATTATGTGACTTTGATTACACCCTTCCTGCTCATGTGATCGACCTAACAAAGCACTGCCGTTCCCCTCCCCCTATCTATCCCCCTGGGATCGGCATCTTTTTTTAGTTTCATTTTTATTTATCTTGTAGCTCAAGAAGTGCACCTGCTGAACATTATTGTCAAAAAGCATCATCATGCATCACTGTAAGGATACATGCTCTAATCAAGTCAACCATCTGGCAGGCTGCTTATACGCCATCAAGCTGAAATGCTTTACATCTGTTAATCAAATGGGTGTTTCATTGTTTTCAGAAAGCACCCCTTAACCTTTCAGGCTCTTTAAACTTTTTATTCTGTGGTACACAAGCTTTATGTTGTGATAGGCAGGCGGGCGCAGAGGTGATTCAGATCATTAAAAGAGAGAGTAATGCATCACATTTACCTCAAGATCAGCCAGGCTTTGAATGGTAATCTTTACGACACTGTTTGTAATTTATGGTAATGCAGGCACTGCATTGTGGGATTTAGCGAGGCGCCTGTCATCATCCAGTGATATGCAATGGACTTCTTCGGTTATTAAAGAGAGATTTAGGCTAAGGTTATCAACATAGAGGCTAAAACCTTTCTATATTTGATGTCTAGGCCACATATTTGGCACTGCTGAATTTTTGGACATATCTAAGTATAGTGGCAATGTTTTGTGTCAAGATATGGAGAGTCCATGAGACAACTTTGTGGGCCAGCATCAGTAAAGAACATGAAAGCATGTCTCTAACATTACAATGAATTATTCCACTTATTTACTGTATGAGTCCCAAAGTCTCTGAGTGGCTGTAGAACCTCTCAGACCCCTTAAACAGACAGCCTTGCAAGTCATTTTATGTGCTCCTTCAATTAACTCTAAATAAGTCATGGGACCAGTCGACATGTGAACGGGGAGGATGCTGCATACATACACCAGTCTACTGCCTATCAGCACAGACTCCAATGAATGGAATACAACTTCCTTTCATATTTATTGTAGTCCTTGGAAATTCTCTCTCTTGCAGTAATTAATAATGCATTGGATTCAATAATAAAAGTAATCAGCAGACTGTAGCTTACACAGAAGCGTGTCAAATGCTAGACATACTTCAGCGCTTCTCGGGTTCCTGAGAGGGAACACACACCATGGTGAGCTCTTTTCAATACCAAAGGCCAATTCATTAAGCTCCTTGCATTGCAGATTGATACACCATTGATTCCAACCCCCCGCAAAAGCCTATTTTGCTTATGATTATAACATAGTGGATTGCTCTCTCGAACAAGGTGATGCAGTATCATGAAGCCCTTTGAAAAGGTTAAATGTATATGAAATTAATATCTGATATGACTCAATTATATTTTCTTTATATCCCGGTATTGATTATGCACTTCTGTATATTTCAAATCAGTATTATGTATTTACTGCATACATAGTCCATACAATGTGTGCATATAAAGTACATGTGGTGATCCTGTCTCTTGGTCTTTCATAACAGTAGTACTATACTGCAGTCAAGCTTCAGTATAAATACTGAACACAACACATACAATGCAGTGTAATTATGTCCTGTATTACCAACAGACAAGAAGCACCTCAGCTATACTTTTAATCACTGTCTTTGATTGATTACCTGTGTAAAAAATGTTACTGTAAATATTTGACAAATAGCCCCTCTCCAGCCTCCACCAACTACAACGCTTAACTTAGTGCATATACAGGACCAGTCAAAAGTTTGACACACCTACTCATTCTAGGGTTTTTCTTTATTTTTACTATTTTCTACATTGTAGAATAATAGTGAAGACATCAAAACTATGAAATAACACATATGGAATCATGTAGTAACCAAATAAGTGTTAAACACAGGGCTCCCGAGTGGCGCAGCGGTCTAAGGCACTGCATCTCAGTGCTTGAGGCGTCACTACAGACCCCCTGGTTCGATTCCAGGCTGTATCACAACCGGCTGTGATTGGGAGTCCCATAGGGCGGTGCACAATTGGCCCGGGTTTGGCCGGTGTAGGCCGTCATTGTAAATAAGAATTTGTTCTTAACTGACTTGCCTAGTTAAACAAATAAAAATATATTTTATATTTGAGATTCTTCAAATAGCCACCCTTTTCCTTTATGACAGCTTTGCACACTCTTGGCATTCTCTCAACCAGCTTCACCTGGAATGATTTTCCAACAGTCTTGAAGGAGTTCCCACATATGCTGAGCACTTGTTGGCTGATTTTCCTTCACTCTGCCATTACTCCCACACCATAACACCTCCTCCTCCATGCTTTATGGTGGGAAATACACATGCATTCACCTACTCTGCGTCTCACAAAGACACAGCAGTTGGAACCAAAAATCTCAAATTTGGACTCCAGACCAAAGGACACATTTCCACCGGTCTAATGTCCATTGCTCGTGTTTCTTGGCCCAAGCAGGTCCCTTCTTATTATTGGTGTCCTTTAGTAGTGGTTTCTTTGCAGGAATTTGACCATGAATGCCTGATTCACACAGTTGATTTTGAGATGTGTCTTTGACTTGAACTCTGTGAAGCATTTATTTGGGCTGCAATTTCTGAGGCAAGTAACTCTAATGAACTTATCCTCTGCAGCAGAGGTAACTCTGGGTCTTCCATTCCTGTGGCGGTCCTCATGAGAGCCAGTTTCATCATAGCGCTTGATGGTTTTTGCGACTGCACTTGAAGAAACTTTCAAAGTTCTTGAAATGTTCCGTATTGACTGACCTTCATGGACTGTTTCTCTTTGCTTATTTGAGCTGTTCTTGCCATAATATGGACTTGGTCTTTTACCAAATAGGGCTATCTTCTGTATACCAACCCTACCTTGTCACAACACAACTGATTGGCTCAAACGCATTAAGAAGGAAAGAAATTCCACAAATTAACTTTTAAGAAGGCACACCTGATAATTGAAATGCATTCCAGGTGACTACCTCATGAAGCTGGTTGAGAGAATGCCAAGAGTGTGCAAAGCTGTCATCAAGGCAAAGGATGGCTATTTGAAGAATCTCAAATATAAAATATATTTTGATTTGTTTAACACTTTTTTGGTTACTACATGATTCCATATGTGTTATTTCATAGATTTGATGTCTTCACTATTATTCTACAATGTAAAAAATAGTATAAATAAAGAAAAACCCTTGAATGAGTAGGTGTGTCCAAACTTTTGACTGGTAGTGTATATATACAGTATACAGCATGTGCATATTGGCCTGTTCCATCATATATACATGCATGTATTAAGTCATACGAGAGAGAGTGAGTGAGTGAGTGAGTGTGTGTGAGAGAGAGAGAGAGAGACAGAGAGAGACAGAGAGAGAATGAAGAGAGAGACAGGAGAGAGATGGTCACTGACAGAACCCATTCTAGCCTGTGATATTGATTTTTAGAGTAGAACGTAAAGGTGCTTTAAAATGGGTAATGTCAGACTGATGCGTAGTCTTGACTGTTGATTCCCTCACAGTTATACAGTTACAGTTATATTGTTATACAGTTACCAAACTCACTATACTGCAATGTCGGGGAAATATACAAATAAACACAACAAAGACTTAGATTTTGTATTATTCATTTCGATGCATGCTTTGTGAGAGAGGATCTTGTGGGTTCCTCAGTTTTACAAAAATTAAATATTGCTGAATAAGCAAATGTTATGCGGTAGCTATCTCAAATCTCTGCTGCGCTCCCTTTAATGTGTCTGTATAGAATGTTGGGGCCGTTTGTAATGGAAAACTGAGGGAATTGCATGCAGATCCTGTGTAAGTGTTTCAAAGCACAAGGTCAAAAGACGGAGGAGAAATTAGTGCCTGTACCTGTAAACATATCTATTATGCTCCCGATTCGATTTACTGCACCAAAATATATCTGCATACACTACATAAATATGCAAATCACATCAGATGTATTTTTCTTTTCATTTTTCTCCAACAGAATATTTTTGGATTATCAGTAGGCAGGCACTACATTTCCCATTTCTCTTGGCCTTGCTGCAGTCTGAGTTCTCTCTTCCCTCTTCCTCCCCCCATCTCCCAAACTCCCCCCACACACATAAACACACATACGCATACACCCACTCACCCAAAGAGAATGAAACGCATTGCTTACCCAGTGCCTGATGGAACTCACCAGACACCGGGGTCATGGAGTTGGGTGGGAGGCCGTTGATGCTGAGTGCCCCCATCTGGTGGAGTTGGGTGGCGGGGAAGGCCATGCTGGGTGTCAGGTAGCCCCCATGGCTCGCTGCCATGATGGCTGCCTGCTGCTGCATGAGCTGGGGGAACAGGAGGGAGGGAAAGAGAGGGAGAGAGAGGAAGAGAGAGGGAGAGAGGTTAGTATAGATGGAGGGAGAAGAGAGAGAATGAGAGGGAAATGAGGGATGGGCAGTGAGCGAGATTTAGAATAAAGCGAGAGAGAGAGAGAGAGAGAAAAAGAGAGAGGAAATTATGGAGAAAGAGACGGAGTGAGAGAGAGGGTGGAGAGAGGGAGAGATGAGCATAGGAAAGTTAGAGTAGAGGGAGGTATAGATGGGGTTGATGGATGTATAGCGCATGGAAAGTAGAGCGGAATAAAAGAAAGGAAAGAAAATAAAAGTCTGTCAACCTATGTTTAGTGAATCTGTCTATCCTCACAGTCGGAGGGCTGTCAGCAGCTGTAGGAATCTTTCAATAGCTGTCTGTTGGGCTCATTCAAATCAACGGATTGACATGTGCACATTATTCCTGTCTCTAGGGAACTGGGAAAGTTCAGAGGCAGAATTGAATTGCATTTATCTTCCTTTGTCAAACTTCTCTGTGAGTGTCCCTCTCTGGTTGTGTAAGGTAAAGTGGAGGGGCAGTGACATCTCTCAGTGGCTCCGCTTTCTAGGATCTTTTGAACTTGCTGCGGTGCCACTGGCGTGTCACGAGCAGCAACCTGTAATGGCAGTCCATTTACACTGGACACACTGATAAAGAACTGGGCTGACACCACTTAGCACGAACACACAGCTAAACCCATTCTCTATCCAATACTGCCTAGAATATACCCACGAACACGTCTAGTATTTCTGCACTCAGTCTCAGATACTGAGGGCCTAATTCCAGAGAAAATCCATCATTGTACGAAGGTGTTTGCAACCTCTGGATCAGTGGGTTTATCTGGGAAATCAATGCTCTTTTGTAGGGCATGTATTTCATGATGAGGAATGCAGGTATGTGGAGGAAAAACATGGACACAATCGGACAATCCCATTGCTCCCTATACCTGTTTAATATCCCACAGCTCCCTCCGTCCTGTTGAAAAAGTGGATCGGCACCCCCAGTCTGACTCAGCTAAGCAGAAATCAAATGCCTTCGCCACTAGCTAGCTCTGATGTTAATGACAATATTGTGCGGCTGAGGCAGAAGATGCCACTCTCCCTGTATTTGCATGGAGTCCCTGGATAGGAAAAGCCAATTATTTTTCCCTCAATGCCCCTGTCAGGTAACCTAAAAGCGGCTGTCCTGCCACAAAACGGGCGCCGCTGGCACCTCATCCATTAGCTACATGCCTTACCACCACTATCTATTAACTCCTTTTGTCATTTGCATAATTTTATCAACATGACAAATGGGGATCATCCATTTTGCTCGGAATAAGATAAATTGAGCTGTTAGGGGTTTGGAAAAAGGGGCGGCGAGGAGAACTAAACAAAAGCACGACCGAGAAAACAAACAATGAGAGGAAGTCAATGTGAGAGCTGTGGTTGGTGTGGGATAGAGATGGTGTTAATGCCCTCATTAAGTTCAGACTGGGGTTGGAGGTTTGGGGTAGAAGGCCTCTGATCTGATTGGCCCCTGTATCAGAGCATACTGTCACACCAGTCACTGGCTTTTGTCCCCCTCTCAGGCTCTTCTTCCTGCTTTCAATAGGAGCTGGGGACTTGGGCTTACTCTAATAAGCTTGCAACCCATTTGCTAGTGGCCTATACAAGTTGATGGAAGCTGCAGCAGGCCTAGATGGTAGAATAACAGACTGAGGCAGAAAGTCTCCGCATAGCTGTTACTTTACATGCATAGATAATGCAGTCCTTCATGCCAGCTGCCAGATTGTCATGGATAACAACATGGCATTCAGTGATGCTTTTTCAGAATTAAAATGCAGCAAATTGGAAGCTCAAGCATGTAATTATGTTGGAATGAAGTGGGTAATACAAACTGGCTCTGATAAAAAGCCTCTGTCCACCAACTGGAATTGTTGACAGAGATATTCAGAGTCATTTTTTACTATTCATGTGTTTTTCTTTTTTCTAAGACTTTCATCCATATTCAGAAGCCATTGCTACAGTATATTTCTTCTTAGTTATCCTTGGCAGTAGATAGCAAAATGTCTGTGGCAGACAAAGAGCTAAATTGCATTGAACTGAATCTTCATCATCATGGCCATAACCTTTTCTCGCTCTGAAATGGAAAAAATAAGAATAGAAGCAGGGAACAAGTTGCCCGTGCTACAGCATCCATTTACTGTCAGGCATCTGCCTCTTTATTGCAACCTGATGGCATTATTCTCCCCTGGTGCCAGCAGGCAATCACCTCTATCACATGGCAATTATCTCTGTAGCACTGCTCTGTGACTCGCGGACTCTCAGCACTGTCACATGTGACCCTTCCAGCCAGTCCTGAACGGGCACCGAGGAGGAGGAGAAGATGGGGGAAGCGAGGGAGGAGGTGGAAAAAATGGAGCGAGCGAAAGAGAAGACCCCGGTTATTGAGGTCCTGGACCTGCAGATTGCCTGAAACTGCAGACTGGTGTGCACTCCAGCAGAGAAAACCTGAAGACAATGGAGTCCACTGCAATTGCCTGGCCTGAGCTAAAGGGCTTCATTTGTTACCATCATGCTATGGTGTGTTTCAATAGGGTTTGTTTCATGTTTCATCATTTTGGTGTGTGTGTGTGTTTATGTGTGTTGATGAAGATGTGGGCAGTTGGTTTGGGAGGGTGTCCCACTTATGTTTTTTTGTATTTTCTTATTTACAATGATGGCCTACATCGGCCAAACCCTCCACTAACCCGGACGATGCTGGGCCAATTGTGCGCCGCCCTATGGGACTCCTGATCACGGCCAGTTGTGATACAACCCGGGATCAAACCCGGGTCTGTAGTGACGCCTCTAGCACTGCGATGCAGTGCCTTAGACCGCTGCGCCACTCAGGATCCAAAAGGTCCTTTTTATAAGGTCCTTTTCCATGAAATTTCCAGATCTGTACCTTACCTAAATAACATATTTCTCTATTTTATTATGTTTGGGACCTTTTATGAATTCATAATATAAAACATCCTCTGTGTTATTGGCTGTGCATAGTTCCTGCTTGTGCAATGCAATGACTCGGTGTTTGTAAGGTACAGTAGAGGTAAATCATTTCAATATCACTTGTAAGCTCTTCTCTATTATGAAATAGCTGAATTTATTGTAAAACACATTCTCAATTTACATTGAGTCTTTATAGTTGATCGTTTCCTGATCTGTGTTGGGTTGGGTTGTGTTGAAAAGGATCCGCTATATACTGTATATTCTGACTAGTTCCAACAGGGGGCGATGTTTGTCGATGTCAGTATTGCAATCATCATGCACTTCCTGTACATCCACCCACACAAAACTTCACCATTAGCTCACTGTTAAAACTACTATTTTCTCAAGTCATTCTTTTTTATCAGATTCAATCTAATACATCTTTTTTGGTGATGTTGTGCCTCTGGTGTCGCACATCTCCAAGCCTTCCATTCCCACACTGAAATGGCATGTAGCATTTCTGAAACAGCAAGTTGAAATGGCTGTTCTCAGGAATATACACATGGATTGAGATGAGAGAAGAGTGCGACACAAATCAAATCGAATTGTGTACAAATATGCATCATGTGTATTGACAGGCAACAGTTGACAGGAAATAATGGGTAGCTGGTTTATTGTGTATTTACACTGCTTCTTTAGAACAACTATTATCAGCCATTTGGAATGGTATAGGAATATCTTCCTCTCTCCTTGTGTTTCATGAAATCACGTTTGCAAATTGGATGTTGTCTGTCAGTACAGTGCTGTGTCTATCTTGAAAATGGCACATTTCTCATTTTTGTCAGTGTTGTACCCCTACAATTTGTGTTCACAACCCCCCCTCTCCTGGTTTGACTAAAATCCAATTTACGGGCTGTCAGCTCAACTCTATAATCCTATCCACTGCTGTATTTGTGAAGTAGCTCTTTGAATTTGCCATTTACTGTACTGTGGATATATACAGTCCCTGTAGATGTCTATATTCCATACCCTGCTAGCTATATATACTGGCAAACATATGGATGGAGGAGTACATATCAGTGGAGGCTGCTGAAGGGAGGATGGCTCATAATAATGTCTGGAATGGAGTTAATGGAATGGTATCAAACACATCAAACACGTGGTTACCATGTGGTTGATACCATTCCATTGACTCCATTCCAGCCATCATTATGAGCCATCCTCCCTTCAGCAGCCTCCACTGTTACATGTACAGTGGCTTTGAGATAAAGTAATTCTGTGTCATTGCAGATTTTGTTATTGGGGAGGGTGTAATAGTTTTTTTATAGAGTAAAGAAACATTTAAAGTGTATCACCCTGTTGCAGTTAATTCCAACCCAATAGAGAGGAAAGGCTGTCACATGCTGCAATAAGCATCTAAGTTTCTGTCTGGTATTCAATCAAAACTGCACTAGCGGAAACCTAACACTGAAGAAAAATTACATTGTTCCTGTGCCAAATGAAAGCACATTACAAGTAATGGAATTCATTAGATACAATGCATATAGTGGAATAAAACAAAACTAGCTGTAGGCTATACATTCATTACAACATACCTGAGGGATGAAATGATCTCATAACAGAACGTTGTACTACCTCAAAGCATTACAATATACAGTATGATTCATATCTTATGGAGAATTTCACTTACAACGGTATCAGTCACTGTGTAGTCTTGAAAAAATATAAATTGACCAATTGTATCTATAAATGCCAATATTTGTTTTTACTTCTAATAACTATAACTATAATGACTGTAACTAATAACTCATATCTAATAACTAACTATAATGATCAAACATCTATAACATGACTAGAAACTATCATTCACAAAACTTTAGCAATGGATTGGCATGTACCCACCTCATTGTCATGCTGCAGCAGTGCCTGGAAAAACAAGACACATGTTGTTGTGTGGCATAGAGTTGGTGACAGAGTGTGTAGCTGTCTGTGTGTGTCTGCATGCGTAGTGTAGTGTGTGTGATGGGGTGCGTGGGGCTCTGCCACATTAAATAAGAGTCATGGCCAACCTGAGCGGGACACAATGCTCTCCCAGCAGACCACCACCGCCTCCACCACTCCTGAAACATTTGCATTTCTCCACATTTCCTGGGGATGGGCTGCATTTCATGAATTGTAATGAAGGTAGGAGTTTTACTGGAGAGAGCACAGAGATGGCCTCGCAATTACTCTGGGTTGGTCAATTTGCACTTTTCATACTGGCCACCATGCCTGTGATAAGAAAATGAGGGAAATGAATAAGCCCCCGAGACCTGGGCAGCCCAAATTAATCGTGGCATTTAGAGAAGAAAAATAAAAAGAGTGCAAAGTAAATAAATAAAGAATTCCGTTATTTTATAAATATATACATACTGTGTATATTTATGCAGTCTGTTGTGACTGAGCTTTAGGTATTTATCGGTGTCGGATGGAACCCTTTTCTTCATTCCATTTCAGCTCCCTTCAAGCGGCAGTAACTCTGTATGCAGGCTAAATAGGTTTGTGTGGAGATAAGGTTCCTATGGAATATTCAGAGTCATCTCTGGCCCCTGGTGCAGCTCCGGGGCCCCGGGGAGAGGAAAGGGCAGTGGGAAAAGCAGCGTGGGCCGGGTGAGCTCATCAAAGAGCCTGGGGTCTGCCGGTGTGTGTATGGTGCTCTGCCCTCTGGGGTGTTGGGGGTTAAGAGGGATACGGAGTGTTGGGGGTTGGGGGGGTAAGAGGGATACGGAGTGTTGGGGGTTGGGGGGGTAAGAGGGATACGGAGTGTTGTGGGTTGGGGGGGTAAGAGGATACGGGGGGGGTTGGGGGGTAAGAGGGATACGGAGTGTTGGGGGTTGGGGGGGGTAAGAGGGATACGGAGTGTTGGGGGTTGGGGGGGTAAGAGGGATACGGAGTGTTGGGGGTTGGGGGGGTAAGAGGGATACGGAGTGTTGGGGGTTGGGGGGGTAAGAGGGATACGGAGTGGTGGGGGTTGGGGGGGTAGAGGGATACGGAGGTGTTGGGGGTTGGGGGGGTGAGGGATACGGAGTGTTGGGGGTTGGGGGGGGGTAAGAGGGATACGGAGTGTTGGGGGTTGGGGGGGTAAGAGGGATACGGAGTGTTGGGTGGTTGGGGGGTGGTAAGAGGGATACGGAGGTTGGGGGTTGGGGGGGTAGAGGATACGTGGCGGTTGGGGTGGGTGGATAAAGGGATGGAGTGTGGGGGGTGGGGGGGTAAGAGGGTAACGGCATTTGGGGGTTGGTGAACTCCCGTGTGTGGTGTGTGGGATAACTCACTGAACACTGCATGTGCGTAGGTACTGTAGGTGCTGAAGGGCAGGGCGATGGCTGGGTTGAAGATGCCGAACTGGCCCACCATCTGCTGCATGCGGCGGATGGTGCGCTCCTTGTCGGTGTCGGCAAACTTCACCACCAGGCTGGAGGAGGCGCCCTGGGGGGGGAGAGAATCGTAGCCGTTCTGAGGAGAGAGGGACCGCACACTTAACCAACCAACCCTCCTCTGTCCGGAACACCTCCACACAGCAGTTAGTGTATCAACATCATCATCAACATCACATGCCACACAGTCAGTCACTATTGGCTACTATATGTATGTTTAGATAATCAACTAAAGAACTAGAGTTGACTTATCAAGTTTGAAACAAGTCATGCATGATAATGTGATTGGATGGTTTAATTGTTCAGAATACACTGCTCATTTGACACTAGGCCTGTTGTTAACATCAATTTTAGCAAGCTCCTCTCATCGAACATCAAGCTCACAGTTTTATAGCATTCCAGATACTACATGATTGGACATTTGTCTTATTGATGATATTGTGTCTGTGTTGTTTGCAGTCTACATACATAAGTAGGGATCTAGAGTCATATGAACCAGGTCTATTTATATCTGTAATGTCCTCTTTTTCAGATACAACCATAAACCTTCCATCAATTTATAAAGCCATGTCATTTAGGCCAAACAAGTATATTGTGCATTAATACATAATACATAGTTCACTCTTTTTCTAAGAAAGTTCTTACTTGGGGTTTAACCTTGGTCCAGACGTTCAAGAAAGGTTCCAAAACTAGCGACATATGATTATTTGAGATGGAGGGGCTGAGATTGGCATGGGCACCAGTAAGCACTTCTTGACCTTGGTGAAGGTGCTCTTCTAAGTGTTGCTCTCTCTGAGAGATAAGAAGAGAGAAGAGAGGAGACGAGAGAGAGAGAGAGAGCTGAGGAGCTAGAGATAGAGAGATCTCGCTCTCTCCGATCTCTCTACTCTTCATTCTCTAATCTCTCACCCTCTCTCTCTCTCCACTCTCTCTCATTCTAATCCAGCACCCCTCTCTCTCTCTCTCTCTCTGTCTCTCTCCGTCCACCACGCTGCCATAATGAAACCAGCAGGTGCGTCTGCCATACACCATTCATTAAGAATCTTCAAATGATTTAGCGCTACACTTGACCTTTCATGCGCTCAGCCTTGCCCCCCCCCTGCCCCACCCAAAACTGCCCAATCGATCCCTATAAAAGGCTGAAATATTACTCTGATCTGACAGTGTAGAAAGGTTGTGCGTCATTTGAGATAAGAGGCTCCCTGAAATTGATGTGAGATTGTCAATAATAGCAGCGAGTGGCGGTGGGGGTTGGGCAGGGCTCGGGAGCGAGCTGGGAGGTGTGTTTGGGCTATGAGGGGCTGTCGGGAGGTTGTGTGGTGAGCCGCAGTGGGGATACTGCTCCCCTGGCTCCCAGCTACACATTGGGGAAGTGAGGAAGTTTTATATTTATATATTTTTTTCTCTCTCTCTCTCTCTCTCTCTCTCTCTCTCTCTCTCTCTCTCTCTCTCTCTCTGAATTCAGCCACTGAGGGGGTTGAGAATGTGTCAATCACATTTAATTTTCAGGCTCAACAATCTGGCTCGGTGCTGGGCTCTCTGCTTATCTAGGTGAAATTTGCAGGTTGCCAGAGATGCTAAAAGATAGTCACTGGAGTGGAAGATGAATGTATTTTTTTTCTCTCTCTCTATGTTTCCTGTCTTTTCACTATCCCCTTATCCCCTCTTCCCCTGACGGCTGGCTGGACTTAAGTGCACGGCCTCACAAAGCTGCCTCTCCTCACCACCGGCACCACATTAGGCCCCTGCTCATTAAGTGCACTGTATGACTTAACAATGAAGTGCATGCGCTCCTAGGTAGTAGGGCGAGGGTAAAACACACTCATCCTCCCCCTCATCTCCTCTCCAGACCCACAGTCCATAATCTGTAGTGAGAGTCCGTCCAAGGTTACACAGCCCAGTCATTCTGGTAGAAGGGCCTTGTGTTGTGTCTGTCCAGCTTTTACTATCTGTTCCATTAACATTACTATGGGGTATAACTTTAGGCGAGTCTGGGAGCAGGGATGCGGGACTGCAATACAGGAATGTGCAGCAGTGGTAAACAGTGAATATTTTACTCCACAGCACTAAAAAAGCTATTAAAGGCCTAGCTGGTTTGATAATGAGACTCATGGTGCATTTCCTCTCCTGCTCAGGCTCCCAGGTTCTTGGGGAGGGTTGGAATTTATAATCTGAAGGTATTAAGTTGTCTGCGAGCTACGAGGAGGGAGGACGCTGCAGCCCAAGCTCCTTCCTGTTCTGTCATGAGGTCTGGAGTGTGCTTGCATATGGAAGTGTGGTTAATTGTGGATTGAGCGTGTGAGTACAATGCCAATGCAGCCCTAGTCTGTCTCCTGTTTTGTACTCTCCTATTCTATCCAGATTGAGGTCTGTGTCCCTGCCCAGCTATTGGCTTTCCCAGATTGGTTGTATTGATCAGGGTGGATTCTGTGTGAACCCAGAGCTCCGGCAGTGTCTCGGCACCTTCAAATTGCTACATGAACTCCAGGATCTTCAGAGTCCCTGGAAGACTTACAGTGGATTTACTAGCAGCCATTGTGCCACTGCACCAAACTCTCAGCCTCTAATATGAAAGGTGGAAAGGTTAAACATATCCGGATGACTCCTCACTAACCCCTTCTCTCTCCTCTCTGCGGAAATGACAGCCACACCAGGCACGAGCTCTTTATTTTTGGGTTAGTCATCACACAAGCCCTCCTCTTTAGTTGCCAACATCAAATCAAATGGTATTTGTCACAGTGAAATGCTTACTCACGGGCCCTTCCCAGCAACGCAGAGCGAAAAATAGAAAAATAGTAGAAAAACAATAACAAGAGGAATAAATACACAATGAGTAACGATAACTTGGCTATATACAGGGAGTACCAGTACCAAGTCAATGTGCAGGGGTAAAAGGTACTTGAAGTAGATATGTACATACACTACCAGTCAAAAGTTTAGACACACCTACTCATTCAAGGGTTTTTCTTTATTTTTAATTTTTTTTACATTGTAGAATAATAGTGAAGACATCAAATCTATGAAATAACACATATGGAATCATGTAGTAACCAAAAAAAGTGTTAAACAAATCAAAATACAGTATATTTTATATTTGAGATTCTTCAAATAGCCACCCTTTGCCAAGATGACAGCTTTGCACACTCTTGGCATTCTCTCAACCTGCTTCATGAGGTAGTCACCTTGAATGCATTTCAATTAACAGGTGTGCCTTCTTAAAAGTTAATTTGTGGAATTTCTTTCCTTCTTAATACGTTTGAGCAAATCAGTTGTGTTGTGACAAGGTAGGGGGGATATACAGAAGATAGCCCTATTTGGTAAAAGACCAAGTCCATATTATGGCAAGAACAGCTCAAATAAGCAAAGAGAAATGACACTCCATCATTACTTTAAGACATGAAGGTCAGTCAATACGGAAAATGTCAAGAACTTTGAAAGTTTCTTCAAGTGCAGTCGCAAAAACCATCAAGCGCTACGATGAAACTGGCTCTCATGAGGACCGCCGCAGGAATGGAAGACCCAGAGTTACCTCTGCTGCAGAGGATACGTTCATTAAAGTTACCAGCCTCAGAAATGTCAGCCCAAATAAATGCTTCACAGAGTTCAAGTCACAGACACATCTCAACATCAACTGTTCAGAGGGGACTGTGTGATTCGGCCTTCATGGTCGAATTGCTGCAAAGAAACTACTACTAAAGGACACCAATAAGAAGAAGAGACCTGCTTGGGCCAAAATACGAGCAATTGACAGTAGACCGGTGGAAATCTGTCCTTTGGTCTGGAGTCCTAATTTGAGATTTTTGGTTCCAACCGCCATGTCTTGGTGAGATGCGGTGTGGGTGAACGGATGATCTCCGCATGTGTAGTTCCCACCGTAAAGCATGGAGGAGGAGGTGTTATGGTGTGGGGGTGCTTTGCTGGTGACACTGTCTGTGATTTATTTAGAATTTAAGGCACACTTAACCAGCATGGCTACCACAGCATTCTGCAGCGATACGCCATCCCATCTGGTTTGAGCTTAGTGGCCCCGTGTAGCTCAGTTGGTAGAGCATGGCGCTTGCAACGTTCGATTCCGATGGGGGGCCAGTATGAAAATGTATGCACTCACTAACTGTAAGTCGCTCTGGATAAGAGCGTCTGCTAAATGACTGAAATGTAAAAAAAAGGTGGTGGGATTATCATTTGTTTTTCAACAGGACAATGACCCAACACACCTCCAGGCGGTGTAAGGGCTATTTGACCAAGAAAGACAGTGATGGAGTGCTGCATCAGATGACCTGGCCTCCACAATCCCCCGACCTCAATCCAATTGAGATGGTTTGGGATGAGTCGGACGGCAGAGTGAAGGAAAAGCAGCCAACAAGTGCTCAGCATATGTGGGAACTCCTTCAAGACTGTTGGAAAAGCATTCCAGCAGGTATATCTCACTGGTCATCCCCATAGCCAACACCTCCTTTGGCCGCCATTCCTTCCAGTTCTCTGCTGCAAATGACTGGAACGAACTGCAAAAATCTCTGAAGCTGGAGACACTTATCTCCCTCACTAACTTTAAGCATCAGTTGTCAGAGCAGCTTACCGATCACTGCACCTGTACACAGCCAATCTGTAATTAGCCCACCCAACTACCTCATCCCCATATTGTTATTTACATTGTTATTTATTTTGCTCATTTGCACCCCAGTATCTCTATTTGCACATCATCTTCTGCACATCTATCACTCCAGTGTTAATACTAAATTGTAATTATTTTGCACTATGGCCTATTTATTGCCTTACCTCCATAACTTACTACATTTGCACACACTGTATATAGATTTTCTATTGTGTTATTGACTGTACGTTTTGTTTATTCCATATGTAACTCTGTGTTGTTGTTGTTTTTATTGCACTGCTTTGCTTTATCTTGGCCAGGTCGCAGTTGTAAATGAGAACTTGTTCTCAACTGGCTTACCTGGTTAAATAAAGGTTAAATGAAAAAAAAAAAAAAAAACATTCCAGGTGAAGCTGGTTGAGAGAATGCCAAGAGTGTACAAAGCTGTCATCAAGGGAAGGGGTGGCTATTTGAAGAATCTCAAATCTCAAATATATTTTGATTTGTTTAACACTTATTTGGTTACTACATGATTCCATATGTGTTATTTCATAGTTGTGTGTCTTCACTATTATTCTACAATGTAGAAAATAGTAAAAATAAAGAAAAACCCTTGAATGAGTAGGTGTGTCCAAACTTTTGACTGGGACTGTATAGGTAGGTAGGATAAAATTGACTAGGCAACAGGATAGATAATAAACAGTAACAGCAGCGTATGTGATGAGTAAAGAAAGTTTGTGCAAAAAGGGTCAATGCATAGTCCGGGTAGGGGGGCTTGGGGGTAGAAGCTGTTCAGGGTCCTGTTGACCCTATCCCCTCCTCTCTTCTCCAGACCATCTCCGGTGACCTTCTCCCTTACCTCACCTCGCTCATCAACTCATCCTTGACCGCTGGCTATGTCCCTTTCGTCTTCAAGAGAGCGAGAGTTGCACCCCTTCTCAAAAAACCTACACTCGATCCCTCCGATGTCAACAACTACAGACCAGTATCCCTTCTTTCTTTTCTCTCCAAAACTATTGAGCGTGCCGTCTTTAGCCAACTCTCTTGCTATCTCTCTCAGAATGACCTTCTTGATCCAAACCAGTCAGGTTTCAAGACTGGTCATTCAACTGAGACTGCTCTTCTCTGTGTCACGGAGGCTCTCTGCACTGCTAAAGCTAATTCTCTCTCCTCTGCTCTTGTCCTTCTAGACCTGTCTGCTGCCTTTGATACTGTGAACCATCAGATCCTCCTCTCCACCCTCTCCAAGTTGGGCATCTCCGGCGCGGCTCACTCTTGGATTGCGTCCTACCTGACCGGTCACTCCTACTAAGTGGCGTGGCGAGAATCTGTGTCTGCACCACGTGCTCTCACCACTGGTGTCCCCCAGGGCTCAGTTCTAGGCCCTCTCCTATTCTCGCTATACACCAAGTCACTTGGCTCTGTCATATCCTCACATGGCCTCTCCTATCATTGCTACGCAGACGACACACAACTAATCTTCTCCTTTCCCCCTTCTGATAACCAGGTGGCGAATCGCATCTCTGCATGTCTGGCAGACATATCAGTGTGGATGACGGATCACCACCTCAAGCTGAACCTCGGCAAGACGGAGCTGCTCTTCCTCCCGGGGAAGGACTGCCCGTTCCATGATCTCGCCATCACGGTTGACAACTCCATTGTGTCCTCTTCCTAGAGTGCGAAGAGCCTTAGCGTGACCATGGACAACACCCTGTCTTTCTCCGCTAACATCAAGGTGGTGACCCGATCCTGTAGGTTCATGCTCTACAACATTTGGAGAGTACGACCCTGCCTTACACAGGAAGCAGCACAGGTCCTAATCCAGGCACTTGTCATCTCCCGTCTGGATTACTGCAGCTCGCTGTTGGCTGGGCTCCCTGCCTGTGCCATTAAACCCCTAGAACTCATCCAGAATGCCGCAGCCTGTCTGGTGTTCAACCTTCCCAAGTTCTCTCACGTCACCCCGCTCCTCCGCACACTCCACTGGCTTCCAGTTGAAGCTCACATCTGCTACAAGACCATGGTGCTTGCCTACGGAGCTGTGAGGGGAACGGCACCTCCGTACCTTCAGGCTCTGATCAGTCCCTACACCCAAACGAGGGCATTGCGTTCATTCACCTCTGGCCTGCTGGCCCCCCTACCTCTGCGGAAGCACAGTTTCCGCTCAGCCAAAACTGTTCGCTGCTCTTGCACCCCAATGGTGGAACAAGCTCCCTCACGACGCCAGGACAGCGGAGTCACTCACCACCTTCCGGAGACACTTGAAACCCCACCTCTTTAAGGAATACCTGGGATAGGATAAAGTAATCCTTCTACCCCCCCTTACCCCATCCCAAAGAAAGAAAAAAAAAAAAAAAAACATATTGTAAAGTGGTTATCCCACTGGCTATTAGGTGAATGCACCAATTTGTAAGTCGCTCTGGATAAGAGCGTCTGCTAAATGACGTAAATGTAAATATCTGTTGGTTCCAGACTTGGTGCATTGACTACCGCTTGCCTTGCGGTAGCAGAGAGAACAGTCTATGACTTGCGTGGCTGTTGACACCATGTTAGATCGGCCCGTTATTTTCCATGTCCATTCCCATGTTTGTTCCCATGTCTACCCAATTTACTTCATTGCGCCTGTCAAGATATCACGGTGTAGAATCTCTCTCCACAGTACAAAGCAGAGAGGTGGATGAACTATGAAGTAAAAGTCTCATTAAATTTTAAGCTGCCAAGTGTCAGGCAGAATCCCCACCGATTCAGAGCCTCTAGAGCGGATTCAGGAAAGGGAATAAAACTGTGGGAATAAAATGGGCAGCTGTTCTTACACAGGAAAATAGGGAAAAAAGGACTGGGAGTCAAAGAGAAGTCTGCGCCCTTCGCAGCCAGAGCCGGCTTGGTTCCTTTCCAAACCCGTGTGAATGGTCCAGATAAAGCTGCCAACGACGCTATATATTTGATATTGCCTTAACTCCACACATCTGTCTCTGCGCATTACTTCGCAATAAGGTAATAAGGTTGAATTATCCTGCGCCTGCCATCATCTTATATAAGCCACTGCGACTCAGAAAACATGTAAAGGAACAAAGTGTCACAAGGCGAGTGCCTTAGCGGTGTCCCTGTCTCTTTGGTTTAGTCAAACGGGGGCTTAGTCACTAGAACAAAGGTTCCTAGTTCCTACTCCACTCGCTCCAACAGGAATACACAGCTGTGTGGCTATTTCCAGACAGTTGTTGAGTGAGTTCAGTGTTAAACTTTCTATTGTTTTGTTTTATGTCTCCATTATCATTAAGATACACTGATTCCCATTCATCTGTGTTAAGTAACCACAGAGAATGAATTAATACACACTGTATATTTAGTGCTTGGTTAGTAAAATAACAAATTAGTGTAATCCATTAGGCTCTGATTAGAATGTAAATTGCTTGGGAAGTGACACTAGGGAAAAATGACACATCTTATAAGCAATAGAACAATATGAAGAAACGATAAAGTTAAACATAATCACGGCACATTGTTTAATGACGAGAAACATAGATATATCATCCATGTGAAGTAGCCTCCTAACATTAAACTATGCATGAGACATCTCATTTTATTACTGTCGTTCTATAAAAATAATATTTATAGTATAAGTAAAGCGAGATCACACTTAGATATGGGCTTTGACTCTCTCCTCTTAGCATATCTCCCTGTCAGCTACAATGCCTCCAGAAAGTATTCACACCCCTTGACTTTTTCCACAATAGTGTTGAACATGATTTTTAATTGACTACCACATCTCTGTACCTCACACATACAGTACAACTGAATTATCTGTAAGGTCCCTAAGTCGAGCAGTGAATTTCAAGCACAGATTCAACCACAGAGACCAGGGCAGTTTTCCTATGGTTTGCAAACAAGGGCACCTATTGGTAGATGGGTAGAAAAAAGCAGACATTGAATATCCCTTTGAGCATGGTGCAGTTATTCATTTTACACTTTGGATGGTGTATCAATACACCCAGTCATTAAAAAAGATACAGGCACCCTTCCTAAATCAGTTGCCGGAGAGGAAGGATCCGCTCAGGGATTTCATCATGAGGCCAATGGTGATTTTAAAACAGTTACAGAGTTTAATGGCTGTGATAGGAGATAACTGAGGATGGATCAGCAACATTGTAGTTACCCCACAAGCCTAACATAAATGACAGAGTGAAAAGAAGGAAGCCTGTACAGAATAAAAATATTCCAAAACATGCATCCTGTTTGCAATAAGGAACTAAAATAATACTGCTAAAAATGTGGCAAACAAATTAACTTTTTATACTGAATACAAAGCGTTATGTTTGGGGCAAATCCAACACAACACATCACTGAGTACCACTCTTCATATTTTAAAGAATGGTAGTGGCTGCATCATGTTATGGGTATGCTTTTCATCGTCAAGGACTAGGGAGCTTTTTAGGGTAAAATGAAATGGAATAGAGCTAAGAACAGGCAAAATCCTTGTGGGGGATTGTTTAATTGTGAGAGTAGTGTAGCTAGGTGGAGCTACTCGTACCTTGTTATTGCCGGGGTAGATATTTCCCCTGTTCCTGTTATTGTTGGAGCTACCGTTACCTTGTATTGCCAGGGTAGATTTTCCCCTGTGCCTGTTTCGTTTGTCGCTATCCAGCGCTATTTGTGTACGACGGAATAAACTCTGCATTCGGTGATTACCCTCCTGCGCCTGACTCCTTCTATCACACTCATCACAAAGTGTTTAGAAACATATTTCATTCTTATTTACAGTAAAAGTGACTCCAAAATTACACAATACATTATCTACCATTCATTTCTGTTGCTCACAAAATAATTGGAAACACAACCAATAAGAACTGCAAATGCGTCCAACAAGTTTGTAGAGTCACAAACTTGATGTAGTCATTGCGTGCTAGGAATATGGGACCAAATACGAAACTTTTGAATTTATTTATAAAAAGGTTTGTCAATAATTTTGATCCCTACCTTTTGGGGAAAAAAAGTGTTACTTGTTAAACAATCGCTTTCTATGAGCAATTGTATTAGTATAAAATAATATAATTTCTCAATTATTTGAGTATACAATATAGCTCAGTATTTTGATTATTTATTTTATACAGTCATTATTGCTCATCTTTATCAAGGGTGTCAATAATTTGACCCCACTTTATCTGTTAGTAATATCCCGCTAGTTTTCCCCCTAGCGAGTCAGTATCATACAAGTTAATTTACTGAGATGACGTTTTCATCATTATTCCAAAACTGACCTATCCGAGTCTTTTGGTGAGAGGGTTACACTTATGACACCATCAAATGGGGGGACTAGATCCATAAAGTGCATTAATTTCTAAACGGTAAAATGGATATGTATGAAAGTACCCTCAAATAAAAGGTGACATTCTGTACTGTCGCCTCATATGTAAGATTGTATCTCAAATCCAAAATGCTGGACTATAGAGCCAAATCAAAGTTTTAGCTTCACTAGCTAGGTTTCCATCCAATTTGCAACAGATTTTCATGCGAATATTCAAAAATCTGCATAAGACAATATGCACATTTTCCCACCAGAGATGTGTTTCCATCAAACTGATTGATTACGGATAAAAGGCTGTGCATGATGATGTAGTGCTCATAAAAATTACTTTTGCGGTTAAAATCCCATGTACCGAATGAAAAATACAAGTTAAATGGGTTTCCAATGTGCCCACTCTGGTCTCGGCACGTGAGCTCTAGCCAACAGCTCGCAGATACAGTGTGGGTAGGCTATCTACATGATGAGATTATTATGGATAAGAGCAAGATTACTTTTATTTGTCAAATGGCAGCCAAGCATTGATCATCATGTCACCAGAATAAGACCCTCAATATTTATTGGAAGGTAGCATCAAGCTCATCACCGTGCACTTTCACCATCCTGTGAAGTTCGTCATCATTGATTTAATCTGTAGCCTAATAAACTGCATGCTTTCCCAAGTCGTAGTGGGAGGACCACCTAACATATCATCGCGTGACTCCAAGTTTACTTCGATATGCTGGTTATTATATCAATATTTGCACATAAAGGCATTTCCACCGCCATTTCTCGCATAATTAATTTGACAGACACAAAAAGACCCCACCATGTCTAACGAACAAATTGTCTGTCGGCATTTATACAATTGTAACGGGATTTCCTGTTTCCATCAGCCCATGCATCAGGTAATTAATCCACATTAAATGGTTGGGATAGAAACCTGGTTACTGTCCAAATAAATACTTAGGGGAGTGTATATATATATATGGATATACATGTACACTCATGCACACAGATACACACTTAGGGAAAGAAACATCCATCTATAGGCGCATTCTCTCTCGCATTCATATGCTCAAACAGTAACACACACATACACATGCTTATTAGCATGCACAAACACATACGGAAGAGACCACATACAATCACACAATCTCAACCTCAAATCCACACACATTTTATCACTCAGATCCCTCCCACACACATACAGTATACATAGACACACATTCACAACCCCCCAACATCCTCTGAGCTGGAAAATAAGATCAGTCAGTGAGCCTTTGACCCTTGCTCATGGCTGTATGAGCATGTGATAGAGAGGAGAGAGGTGTGTGCGTGTGTGTGTGTGTGTGTGTTCGCTTGGGGGATCTGATGTTGATCTATTAAGAAGCTGTTAGTTATAGTGTTTACATTCAGTGCACTCCAAAACCTCAGCTAGGCTCTCGGCTGGAAATGATCCATAGCCATCTCTTTTCCTAGACTGATCACTTGGAATAGCTTGTAAATGCTGCACATTCTCATTTGTTTTAACATTTACTCATTTACATAGACCCTACATGTGGAGAATTTCGAATAGAAAGAATAGGGTCATTAATTACATGGAATAGTTGACGATTAGGTCCTGGAAGACACTGTATAGATGCACTGTTAGTCCTGTAACAGTGCTGTTCCATTTTCAGTGCTGTTGATGCAGATCATGTAGGGTAATTCAGGCCTGTCCTCTGAGTATCCCAGGCCCAGCTCAAGGCCTAATGGTGCTCTGTCTTTCTGTCTGTCAGTCTAATTCTGGAGAGATGGCGCGTCCAGGGCCAACCCACGCCCATCCAAACCCCCGACACAGGAGATGAGATGCTGATAAGATTTCTATAATCAATTTAGCCAACCAGGAGGGGATAAATCCTGTCCATTTGCCTCCTCACTCGCTTTTCCATCTCTCCTTCATTTCTCTTCCCTTCCGCCCTTCTTCCCATCTCCCAACCCCCTCTCCCCCTTCTTATACACAAATGAATAATTCAGCAGCCGATGTGGTGAAAGGTGAAGTAAACAAGTCTATTGCCTAATATCCCGGGAGGCCGGGAAAGAGAGAAGAGTGAGGAGAGAGAGGGGGAAATGCTGTGGCTGTCCAATACCACAGAGCAGAGAGCACACAAGGTCCAGCCTATCTCCAGCCTATCCTCATGTCCCAGAGTCATTTGCACTTATATTGACCTCAAAACTAATGACACAGTCAGCTAGTCCGATGCTCTCTTTATCCACGCGCTGTGCGACCATAAATAATAACATAAGATGGTGTAACGCCACAGTGGTGAGAGTGAGAGAGTTCAGGGTCCTGCTCCACGCCAGAAGTTTCTCCAACAAAGAGACTGTTAAGGCAGAGGGTACTTCAAACCACTGAATAATATGTAGTGTGCAGAATAACTATAATGTAGGTTTAGCATGCACAGTAAGTGCCTTTTGTTTCTATACATCAAGGGTTTAGAGGGGCCTCCCTAAACATGAGCCACATACAAATAGCCACACCTAGCAGTAATACAGTAGTGACTGCTATAATTACTGTATTTGTTCAAGGGTCAAATGCAAAAATTGCTAAATGTTTTGAACGATTGTTCAACCCATTATCATTCAACGAGAAGAAAATCACTGTTGAATGATTTTTCTTTGATAATGTTAAAATTAGAAACGCAAAAAGTAGGCAGGGCAAACACGTTTTGGTGATTTCTGGTATATCATCAAAATAGATCAATCACTGCACGTTTTTGGACTCATTCGGCAGTTTTTACCTGATTAAGTACAATCCAATTGGAAATTATTGTTGAAAGTTCATTTTATATTCCTAAAACCTAAGTTGAAAATAATGCTGTCGCTGCTTCCTGTTGACAAGACATATTGATACATAGCCCAATATCAAAACACAGTTTTAAAGTGTCCAAATCAATAACCAATATGCAGAAACAGTTTGTGATATATTGAAAACCTAAAACGTTCTATCTACACATACATGTGCAACAATAGTATAATGCATGTTACTTTAAACAAGCACCTTATAAATGGCACACACACAAAAAACCCTGTTGTTTTGTCGTGGCAATAAATCATTCATCGATTGGGGGGTGGAGGAATGTGCTTTTGAAACTAAAAACCAGATAGAAACAGATATATTTTTACATCACTGGTTAGAGGACAACCTGCAGAACACAGTCAGCTACATTTAGGAATGTTGCATTTTGATACGGGGGTTACCAAAACAGAAAGAAAAAAGCAACATTGTTTTGTCAATCACTCCAATCGATTATCACGTTGAAATCAATTGCGTGAGGGCCTCCCGAGTGGCACAGCGGTCTAAGGCACTGCATCGCAGTGCTAGAGGTGTTACTACAGACCTGGGTTCATTCCCGGGCTGTGCCACAACCGGCCGTGGCCGGGAGTCCCATAGGACTGTGCACACCCTCCGGGTTAGGGGAGGGTTTGGCCGGTGGGGCTTTACTTGGCTCATCGCGCTCTAGCGACTCCTTGTGGTGGGCCGGGTGCCTGCAGGCTGACCCTGGTCGCCAGTTGAACAGTGTTTCCTCCGACACATTGGTGTGGCTGGCTTCCGGGTTAAGCTGGCGGGTGTTAAGGAGCGCGGTTAGGCGGGTCATGTTTCGGAGGACGCCTGACTCCACCTTCACCTTTCCCGAGCCTGTTGCAGCGTTGAGACAAGATCGAAAAAATTGGGGAGAAAAAGGGGGTAAAAAAAATATACAAATAAATCAATTGCGTGAGAGTTGGGAGATGAGGTTGCACGTCCTGTTAAAACGAACACCTAAAAAACCACACAGAATAGAGGACAATTTGTAGAAGACAGCTAGCTATATTTTTAAGTGTTGCATTTTGATTCAAGTGGGTCACCAACGAGGTAAGTGTAATGCAACACTTCTTTTGTTAATCACTTCCATCGATATCATGCTGAAATCAAGAGAGCAGGGGGGCAAACGTTTCGGAGTGTTGCGCTGTTTAACATAACACTATTCAAAGGCCACACGGAAACTTGGAATAACCTATACATGGTTGGTTAGATGAGAATTTGTAAAGGCTTTTATCTATATTTTGGAATGGCGGATGTTGATTTTGGGAGGCTGCCATCACAGAAAAGGGAATAAACCACTTTCTGTTAGTTAACTTCAACGAATCACGACCCGCCATAGGATAGCAACAGTGACAACGGTTGGCTGCTATTTAAATAATAGTTTGACTTTCAAATCCGTGTATTGGTGTGTGGCCAGCAACTATTATAGAGACCGCCCCAAATTATCCATGCCATTTGAAAAAGAAAATGATAGTCCTGCCACCCCCAGTGCGTATGACAAAATCAACAGTACAAAACCAAAGATAGTGATCTGTTTTAAGCAATTGATCTTGTGTCATCGTGTTGACTATAAAAATCACCAATCTGAGGTAAAAAGGATGTGTAATTACCACCAATATGATATGGTCAAAACGTCAGCTTGTGTAATGTAGTAACGCATACTATCCACATCATGGAAAGTAGCGTAATATCCATTAATTAGATATGGCTAGGGTTGCAAAGTTACCAGAATCTTCAGTAATTTTGTTAATTAACAGAAAATATATGTCAATCTATCGTAACTTATTCACATATAGTGTCAATTTTGTATATCTGTGTCCATATTGTCCATGAGTTTCTAGTAGATCGTTCAAGAGAAAATAGCCTAATTAATGAAAAAAGCATCTTATTTTCAATAACCTCTACAACTATTAACTTTTTTCAAATCTGCCACGAGTTTGACGGCAAAACATTGACAACAAATACATAAAAAGTGCGTAAAAAAAGATTAAGATATTAAATGCTGAAACCTTCATATTAAACACCAATGGTATTCACTAAGTTGATGGTTTATATTTAGGACAATGTTTTATAGCTTTTTCATTCTATTTTTATTTTTAAATCTTATTTAATTATTTCATATATTTTACATGTGATAAGGCCAGAGGGCCAGAGATAATTACAGACACCTGTGATAATCTGAAGTACCCAAAAGGGCCAATAGACGTCTTAAAATCCTTGAAAGATGCCAAAATTCCAGTAGTTTACTGGTAAACTTAGAATGTTTCCAGTAAAATACCCTCCCTTTGCAACCCTAGATATGGCAAAATAATTCAATATCTTACTTTAGAATGATAGTAAATGAAGCAAACACAGATTTACACTGAGTATTCAAAACATTAGGAACATCTTCCTAATATTGAGTTGCACCCCTTTTGCCCTCAGAACAGCATCAATTCGTTGAGGCATGGTCTCTACAAAGTATCGAAAATTGTTCCACAGGGATGCTGGCCTATGTTGACACCAATACTTCCCACAGTTGTGTAAGGTTTGCTGGTAGTGGATATCTACTCTGAATAGCTCGTTCCATCTCATCCCACAGATGCTCAATTGGATTGAGATCTGGTGACTGGGCAGGCCACTGCAGTGAGCTGAATTCACTGACACATTCGTGGAACCATTCCTGGACAATCCTAGCCTTGTGGCATGGGGCATTATCCTGCAGAAAAAAATCTATTCGCAGATGGATACACTGCTGCCATGAAGGGATGCACCTGATTGGCAATGATGTTCAGATATCCTGTGGCATTCAAATGTTGCCCAATTTGTGCCATGAAAAGTCACCATCACACCACCAGCATGCACTGTTGACAAGCATCATGATGGATGCATGTACTCATGTGGTTTTCTCCATACCCTAGTACTCCCATCAGAGTGAAACAGCAGGAACCGGTATTCATCAGACCAGGCAATGTTTTTCCAATTCTCCAGTGTCCAGTGTTTTCGTTCCTTACCCCACTGCAACCGCAGTTTCTTATTTTTTGCTGAAAGAAGCGAAACTCTGTAAGGTCGTCGGCTCAAAACCCAATTCGTATCAAGGTACGACGACTTGTGCATTCTTTTATGCGTCTTTGGGCACCAATGTTGTACTGAACTGTCAGTTGACTAACTGTAGCCCGTCTGTTGCTCTGCACAATTCGGGTTAGCCTCCTTTGTCCTCTTTCATCAATGACCCGTTTTCAACCACTGGCCTGCTGTCGGCTGGATGTCCTTTGGTGGACCATTCTTGATACACACGGGAAACTGTTGAGTGTGAAAAACCCAGCAGCGTTGCAGTTCTTGACACAAACCGATGCGCCTGGCACCTACTACCATACTACGTTCAAAGGCACAAATATTTTGTCTTGCCCATTCACCCTCTGAATGGCACACATACACAATCCATGTCTCAATTGTCTCAAAAATCCTTCTTTAACCTGTCTCCACCCCTTCATCTACTCTGATTGAAGTGGATTTAACAGGTGACATTAATAAGGGATCATAGCTTTCACCTGGAGTCACCTGGTCAGTCTATGTCATAGAACGAGCAGGTGTTCCTAATGTTTTGTGCACTCAGTGTATATGTCTCACTAGTTGTATATGTCTAAACTGATTTTTGGAAAAATGCTCCTAAGCACAACTTAACCAAGCGCTCTAGACTAGAGCGTCCATAGGATCTGTGCAGCAGGCTGAACGTTTGACGTCCCTACAAAAAGTACCAATCCCTTTCATTCTAAAGAAAGAAGGTTTGTGGTTGTACCCGTTTGCTCGTTAAAGCTGTAATATTTATGAGGACGGTTGCACATTGTGTCGGTCAATAAAAACTGTAGGTTGAAAGAGTCTTTGCCGCCCTGCAAGGCCTTGATCAGTAGAATCTAAAGTAAAGTTGCTGTTTGTACGTGTTGTGCATGTTGCATATTGTTGTGTGGAACAAAGGAAAGAGGTGTACTCACTGGCATGGTCTGGCTGCCATGAAGGGCACTGATTGCAGACTGGGCCTCAGCGTGTGTGGAGAACTTTACAAAGGCACAGCCTGAAAAAAACACACGCACGCACGCATACAAACAC